ACTGGAACCCAGGACCTCCTGAGCCCCACGCATGAGCTTGGTGCTGCACCAGGGTTGGCAAGCTTTCCCTGTGAAGGACAGACAGAAGCTGTTTGACCTGCAGCCTGCCCCCACCCCTGCCTGCCTCAGCTATTAGGCGACCATTTCGGCTGTGTTTCGGGACAACTTGATTCACGGCAACAGGTGACGAGCTGGACGTGGTCCACAGGCCCCATTGTGCCCATCCGGCCGTCCAACGAGAAGCAGTTCACGCTCCTTCAAATGCCTGCAGACGAACCAGATGAGGGAGTGACGCAGACCAGACAGATGTGGAGCGGGGCATGGGGGGTGGGTGGTGTCTGCCCCTCGGAGAAACATGGCCTTTCTCAAGCCCAGCGTGGAGGGTATTGGGGCCCGATCCTTCTCAGGTGGGGAGGAGTCATCCTGAACATCGTGGGACATTTAGCGGTCGGGATCCCTGTCTCCACAGCAGGATGCCGGCGATGGCCCCTCCCCGTTGTCCCATAGTGTCCTCCCGGGGACAAGACCACCCTGATGGAAGGGAAAGCGGGGCTGTCAGATAAGAGTGGTCCCAGGGGCTTGAATCAGCAGGTCTCTCTCACCCTCTCAATCTCTGCCTCTCTCTCTCTCTCATTCTCTCGCTCTCTCTCGCTCTCCATCCTTGCTGCTGAGCTCCCAAGCCGACTCTCCACTCTCCCAGCATGTCCCCTCCCTGCCACCAGGGCTTGGAGAAGGAGCTTCTCTTCTCTAGGCATGCCCTCAGGGCAGTGTGGCTCAGTCACCCCTCTGACACAGTGCGACTTCCCATAGGCTTTTCTCCGAAGGCACAGTGGCCACCCTTACGGAGCAGATGCCCAGGGAGCTTCCGGGAAGGTTCCAACCACCCGCCTTCCATTAACATCCAGCGCCATCAGAGCTCCTCTGGAAGTCCTCCCCTTAAAATCTCAGGGCTGGCTCTCATAGGTTCAGATGGGGTCACGTGCTCATTCCTGAACCAACGAGGAGAGCCAAGATGCTCTGCTTGGCCAGGTGTACATGATGCACACAGCCCAGAGTCGGGATGCCTTCAGTCAGAGTGCGCTCAAGTGAGAAAAGCAGGGTGCCCAAAGGACCACCATCTAGGCGGGGTGCAGACCCAGAACCCCTGAAACTGTCAGAGGGTTGACAACAAAATAATCCCCATGTCCAAGGCTGCAGGCATTTCGGAGGGTGGGCCATCGCAGTGCCTGGCTGTTGCTGGGGAGGGGGCAGGGTCCCAGGCTCCATATTGGTCCATGGGAGAAGCTGTGAGGGAGGGGCGGGGCTGGGGCACAGCCCAATCCTGGCCCTACAGGAGTGAACAGGGTTGTGTTGCTTCCCTGGGCCTGCAGGGAAGGCGGGAGAAGGAGTGGCATCATGTGTGTCCATTCTGGTTAACATCCACAGTCTCTGCTGCCAGGTGTAAAATCTCCACCTATCGCCAGGCGGGCAGGTGACGGGAGCTTCTGTCCTAACGGTGGACCCCAGCCCTGCGTCCCCCTGGCATGTCAACCAGAGTGGAAAGGCCTTTGATGGCGGCATTTCATGTGTCTTGGTCTGCCTGCCAAGTGGCTCGCAAACATCCCCCAACACACACACACACACACACACACTGCCCTGTCTCAGCCACCAAAACTCAGCAACTCCCAGCTTCCCGCGCCCCAGCCCTGACCCGTGTTGTATTTTTAATCTTGGTTTTAATTCCAGCTCTTTCTCCAGCCTGCTGTCTCCAGGCGAGGAACCCCAGGGGGTCCATGCTAATTAGCTCCTCCCACTTCCACTGGCACTGGAATCACCAGTGCCTTGGGGAAATCTAATCAAATGAGAACAAAGTCAAATTTGCACTAAAAGCCTTTGACAGAAGCCCTGTTTTCTAGGGCCCTTTCTGGGATGTGTAAGGAGCGAGGGACGGTGGAGCTGAGTCGTAATGAGTATGGGGTGGGACTCCCAGGGCACAAGGAGGGCCTACACCCTGCTCCCCGCAACAAGCCCTGTCCCACCAGCCAGCGGGGCCAAGAACTCTGCTCCCCAGCATTCTGAGCTACACGATCCTCAGAAAGCCCTGGGCCCAGATCCCAGAGACACACCAGCCAGGGAGTGAAAGGCCTGGGGCCGAACCCGATCTTCAGTGGGGAGTTTGGGGAGCCGTCTTCTCGGGCTTTTATTCTCGGGGATGGAAGGTGGGTGACATCCTGAAATCATTTGCTGTCATAGCCTTTCAGGATGTGTCAAAAGCTGTGAAGCCGCCATCAGGAAACTATACATGAAATGCAAACTCTGGTGCCTGGGAGCCTCAAAGGAGCCCTGGTGGTTACTGGGTTAGTGTCGGGCTGCTAGCTTCAAGGCCAGCCGTTCGAAACCACCAGCTGCTCAGTGGGAGAAAGATGAAGCTCTCTGTTCCCGTAAAGAATAACAGTCTCGGAGACCCACGGGGCAGTTCTAACCAGCCTTGTGGGGTCGCTATGAGTCAGCATTGACTCAGTGGCAGTCAACGTTTTGGTTTGGGTGGCTTGCCCACATTCTTCCTGATGCTTCTATGTAGCTTCTTCCCTGTGACCCATCCTCCCCCTGTCACTGGCCTCCTTGGGCTCTTCAGTGCCCCAGGCCTGTCCCTGCCTTTAGGGCCTTAGCACTTGCTGGCCGCCAGCGGTTGTCCTCTGATTCCCAGTTCAGACTCTGGAAGGCTACTCTAGAAGAACTTGCTTCCTGAATTACAGGAGAAGGCTTCCAAACGTTCGTGGGAAAAGGCCATTTTTCATCCTATTTTCCCGCACGCTTTTTGATGGCCCCTGTGTGGGATCCAGGGACCTCTTCATCTCTCATGGTGAGGGTCTGAGGAAATGAGGGAAGGGGGGGTCTGGGGCGCCAAGGCATCAGATGGGATTTTCAGATCAGGGCTCTCAGCCTTGGCGCTGATGATTGGGGTGTGTTGGTCCAGTTGTGAGGATTTTTGTCTTCTCCGTGTTGGGGTGCGATCCACTCGGAAGATGACGGCTTCACGTCCTCATTGCTTTCAGCTCGAAAGGCCGTGTCGTCTTTGTACCGCAAGTTGTTTGTGGCTCTTCCTCCAGTCTTGAGGTCACAGTGTTCTTCGGGCCCAGCACCGATCATTTGCTCGGCCTGCAGATTGCCTGAGTATGGTGAAATGATGGGACTTTGATGCATGCTTTTCCTAACTCAGGCCACACAGTATCTCCTGGCTGTGTCCCCATGACGGTGTACAGGTTCCCCATGAGCACAGTCCATGTTCTGAAATTCCTGTTCTTCACAGCAGCTCTGCCACACACCCACCAACAAGCTGCCAGGTGGGCGATGGTATGTAAAGAGAGGATGCGTTAGGCCGGGTTGACTAGAGAAACAAATCCAGGGGCACTTTCTGACCCTGTGTGTCAGAAAGAGCTTTATAGCAAGAAGTAATGGTGTGTCGAGAAAACATCCCAGCCCAGTCCAACGCAAGTCCATACGCCCAATACTAGTCCACAAGTCCCTCCTCAGACTCATGCAGCCACATGCAATGATGCAGATCCGGAAGATCACAGGCCAGAGAGTGGAAAGTCTTGTGGATCTAATGACGGTGGAAGCATCACAGGGCTCGGGCTGTTCTCAGCCACGTGGCTCACCAACAGGAAGGCGAAGTCAGAGAGCGTGGCTGGCCTCCAGAGAGCCATTTATCACGGTGGCACCTCCAAATAAGGTCATCAAGCCGCAACCTGATTGACAGGCTAGACTCCACCCCTACACGCTATCTCTTCAAGCTGACACAAAAGGACATATTGACCACAGAGTGTAGGTTGTTGGGTCCTGTATCCATGCTAATTAATGTACCACTAATTCATCTGTTCTCATTCCTGTGTAATATCCATTATATATGCATGTTCCCACCTAGTTCCCCATTTTTGGGGTAGACAATTGATTTGGCCCTTGCTATTTTGCCGTTGTCAGTAGTTTCATGCTGTGGCAAGGAAGTGGGGACATTTCTGGGGAATATACGAAGGCATTTCTGTTGGATAAAGGCCCAGGTTTGAACCACCGGAGCAGCAGGTGGGAAGAGGTTGGAGTTTTCGAGACAGTGCCTGTTTTCCGCAGCGGTTGGATCAGTCTCTGTTCCCACTAACAGGGATGGGGAGGTCCCGTTGCTCCACATCCCCGCCAACATCTGGTGATGTCGGTGTCTTCTTAACATTAGCCATCCTGGTAGCTGTGTAGCATATAGAAGCCAATGGGTGCACACCCCCGGTGATAGCTTGATGCTCACTCCCCTGCCACTGAAATTGAGCATTTGCTTCCATTTGAAGCGTAGGCCACCAATCACACCTGGCACTTTCCCGCCCATAGAAACTCCACGTGTTACAGATAACACAGAGGAAGATATAGTCACTCACCAATGACCACTTTGCATCGTCCAGACTCTGCTAGGTCTTCTTCTAAATCCCTTCACTGATCCTGAGACCAGTCAACCGATGGAGACCTGGAGGGCAGCCTTTGCCCGGGGGGTTGCTCAGGAGGCTGGAAGGGACGAGGCAGACGGCTGCCTGGAAACAGCAGACACGGAGGAAGTGGGACCGGTGCTGTCACGTCGTGGGACCCGCAGGCATCACGGAGAAGCCATGGCGCATGTGTTGTCGAGTGGAAACCCAATGTGCTCTGCAGACTTTCACGCAAATAAATAAACACACCCCTTTAGAAGGGCACTTGCTGTAGCCCAACGACTTTTCCTACTTGGAGAACATCATTGGTTTTTCCCCCAGAACACCAACATATTTTATTTCCTGCATTTGAAAATCTTTTGAGACAGGGGTTGGTCTGTGGGATTCCTGTGCCAGCTGGAGGCTCCAAGGGGTGACACGGGTATAGGTTGGCAGGACCGGGCCCTCCTCCGGCCCTGCACACACGGTGGTGGCGTGGTGCTCGCCGTGCGGGTGATGACGGGAGAAGGCTGGAGCGTGTTGTCTCACCAGGCTTCCCGGCCCTTCTCCCCGCAGCTTTCTTCGGGAAGTACCTGAATGAGTACAACGGCTCCTATGTGCCACCTGGCTGGAAGGAGTGGGTCGGGCTCCTGAAAAATTCCCGCTTCTACAACTACACGCTCTGCCGCAACGGGGTGAAGGAGAAGCACGGTTCCGACTACTCCAAGGTAAGCCCTGCCCTGGGCCGGCCCCGGAGAGGCAGTGTGGCCTGCCGGCGACGGGCCTGGCTCCGGCTCGGGGCCGTCCCAGGCCAGGTCCCCAGGCTCGTGTGTGTCCTCGGACCGCACTGACCGACCCCTCTGCTTCTCCACTTCGTCCTGTCTCCGCCTGTCATTTCTGCTTCCGGGGTATTGCTAGTTTGTGTTAACCTTTCCCCCAAACAGAATGGTCTCATGAAAACGGGCTCATGTCCGGCATTCAGTTCTACAACTCTTCGCAGATGGACCCTGCCCACCCCAGGAGCAAACCAGACGGCAGCGAACTGCCATTGAGTCGATGCCGACTCATGGCGACCCTCTAGGACAGGCTCGAACCGCCCCTGTGGTTTCTGGGACGGTAACTCTTTAGGGGAGTCGAAAGTCAGACCTTTCTCCCTCTGAGCGGCTGGTGGATTCAAACTGCTGGTCTTCGGGTTAGCAGCCCTGCACCATAACCCCTACACTGCCAAGACCTAATAGATCCCAGGTGTAAGTGGGAGCTCCACTGGGAAAAGGAACGAGGCGCTCAGCGCAGCCTGCCCTGCTCCCGCTCCCCTCTTGGAAGTGCCATCCTGTGTGGGGAGGCCTTTGGAGGGGCCCTGGTGGAGCAGTGGTTAAGCACTCCGCCCACAACCACCGGCCGCTTCCAGTGAGAATGGTGCGGCTTCCGGCTCCCTAAGGACTACAGTCTGGCCAGCCTGAGGGCGTAGCTCTCCCGGCCAGGCCACCGGAGTCGTCAGAATTCAGGCAGCAGCCCCACGCCACCTTTAGGTGGTGACCAGGGCTGACCTGTGTCCACTCCCCATGTGTCCTCGGATCATCCAGGCCCTGGTAGCACCACGCGGGTCTTCTCCTGTGCGTCCTGCCCCCGTCCCCACATACAGCCGGCCTCCACGACTCCAAGGAAATGAATCCCCCCGTCCTGGGGAGGGAGCTTAGTGACCCCTCTGCTACGGGAGATAGAAATTGTCTCCTCAGCCTTACACCTGGTTCCCCCTCGGCCTCCGAAAGTCCCAAACAAAAACAAAAAACACTTAACTGCCATCAATTTGATTCCAATTCACAGGGACCCTGTGGGACACGGTAGAACTGCCCCTGTGGGTTGCTGAGTCTGTGACTCATTACAGGAGCGGAATCTGAAAGTCCCACACAGACATTCCCTGTGGCAATTCCTCACCAACCCCTGGCCCTGGATCAGAGCCACTCGGCGTCCTCCGGGGCCACACTGACCCCTGTGCATGAAAGGCGCCCCCGGGACCGAGGGGTCCTGAGAACAGGGACGTCCTAACAGGGATGAGGAGTCAGAACTGGCTCGTGGCCCAAGGTTCAGGTCCAGCCCCCGGAGCAGCGGACAGGGGCCACCAGAGTATCCACAGGGGCCAGGAGCGAGCCTGGAGCCCTATGCCTCTGCCGGCAGAGCCCCTCGGTGGTCTTGAGGACCTCATGGCAAGGCATCTGCCAGCCCTGCCCAAGCTCCCTCCACAAGGCCATCTGCTAACTGTCCCCAGTCACAGAGGTGCGCAGATGGTTGGGGGAAGGGGCTATGAGGCTGGGGAAGGAGTGATCTCATAGGGCTCATAGCCCAAGAGGGGGAGTAGGCGGGGAGCTCAGAGTGACCCAGAGCCACGCCGTAGAGAGGTCCCCGGAAGGGAAGATTGGCAGATGTTGGGGTCAGTCTGGGAAATGACAAGATGCCCTGCGGTCGGAGGACTGTCCAGCAGTCTCTACAAGCCTGACCATGTCCCCTGGGCTCCCTAAAGCACCCCTACCCTGGAGGCAGGTAGGACGACCACACCTGCCTCTCTGGGAGCTAACAAGTCTGCATGTCCACCTGCTTCCTCCTGGCTGGCCCAGGCACCCCGATCAAACATGGTCAGGAGCCCATCACTCCCCCAAGCCTTCTCTCCTCCTCCTGGCCTCTCTGTCCTTTGTCCACTGCCCCCACCAGAAACCAGCTGTGGAAGGGGGCCCGACTGCCCCTCATCCCACATAGTCTGTAGTCTCCACAGACGCTGTCACCACCCCTGGCCAGGCGCCCTCTTCCTTCACTCCAGCACCTTCACTTGACCTGGGTTCTGTGCCCAAAGAGATGGCCGGCCACCCAGCCCTGGAGTCAGGGTGGTCTCGCCCCACCCTACGCACAAGGGTGGAAGGGGAGAGGAGGCGCTTCCCTACACGGGCGCTGTGACCTAGGGGGAGAGTCCAGTCAGCGGTGGCCAGGCAGGCACGAGGGCCCAGACCTCTGCCGATGCCACACTGAAGTCGTAGGTGAGGGAGTAGGCTTGAGCGGTGGGGGTCCCTGGAGAGAGGGTGGGTCTTAGACCTGCAGGCATGACGCTATCTGCCCACACTGTAATGAGTGTGCCAGGCGCCAGTGTGCCAGGTGCCAGCTCCAGAGCTCTGTGTCTGTTGCCATCTTAAACCCCCACAACAACCATCAGAAAACCAAACCTCCCTGAGCCTGTAGGGGCCCTGAGCCCCACCCTGTCCTCTGCCCCCGGCCCAGAGGCCATCGCACCGCAGGGGCAACTTGATTCCTGAAATTGGGGCTCATCAGTCCCCCGAGCCTCGGTCCATCGTGCCCTGTGTAGACTCGCCAGACAGTACCTGGTACTCGGTGCTCAGGGTGTTTTCAGACTGGATAGCAATGGCGTCAATCAGACAGTACCTGGTACTCGGTGCTCAGGGTGTTTTCAGACTGGATAGCAATGGCGTCCATCATTCACATCCTGCTTTCTCACCCAGCACCGAGCCGGGCAGGTTGATCCGTGCTGGTGTGCATGGTTCTCGTTCCCTCTTTTCCACGGCTGTATAATCCCATTGTGTGAAGAGACCTCACGGGATTTGTTTTCTCCCGGGAAGGGATACGAGTGTGGCTTTAAAAAATAAAAGTTCAGTCACCGCGGCGCAGACATAGATCTGGGGACGTGAGAGCATCAAGATGGGTTTCTTATGAGGAGGAGGGAGAACAAGAAAAGATAAGAGACCGGTTAAGTACACTGGCTTTTAAAAATGGGACACCTTCCCGATGAATTTCAGTGCCGCGAGGAAGGGTGACTGGAGCCGCCCGAGAAGGAGGAGAACAGGATCTTCTGGGGCGGGAGGGGAGGTGCAGAGCGCCCTGTGGGTGTGTGGGGAAAGATGCCCCCTTGCTTGTGTGAGCACCGTTGCCTCGAGGAAGGGTGTGGCTGGGCTTCTACAGTGTGAAACACTTACCTACTAAAAACAATGAGACCAAACAAAACCTTAAAGAAAAAGGCAGAGAGCGAGAATAGAATAGCCTCAGTCCCCTCCCGTCTGCCCCACTGGCCTCGGAAACAGCAGGTCTCTCCAGACAGGGGGTCCCCACCCGCCCTGCCAGGCCCGCACCCACTCACTGTCCCCATGCATCCACTTGAAGCCAGACTATGAGCCCCTCCTCTTTACCCGGAGAGCTTTGCCAATTTCCAAATTCAATTGGCTGCTAACACAAGGTTGGCAGTGTGAAACCCACCCAGCAAGCAGCTCAATTCGAGAAAGACCCCGTGACCTGCCCCATGAAGATTTCAGCCGACCCTGAATGACCCATGTAGAAGTTGAGGGATCGGAGGACATTCTGTTTCTATTTGTGCCACAATTAGAAAAAAATTAATTACGTGACTAACAATGAGTACAAGGAGAAGATGTTCTAGAATTGACTGTGGTGGTCATTGTGCAACTCTTGATATGATTGAATTATTGAATTTTTAAAAATTATTGTATAGCGTGTGGATGAAGTGCTAATAAAACTGTTTTAAGAGAGAGAGAGAACACTAAGGTGTACCTGATATAAGGTATTTTTAATCACCTCGTATCCTTTTGAAAGCTGGATAACTAATAAAGGAGATTAAAGAACAAAATAAAAAGATTCCGGCCAAGGAAACCCCCTGGGGCAGTGATACTCTGTCACACGGGTCACTGAGTCAGAATCAACTCAATGGCACCCCAAAAAATGAGTTACCTGACTTTACGAGAGCTTCCACCTCCTGTAAATCGTGTGTCACCAACGATAGCAGCAACGGAGTTTTAGGCGATAAGGACAGTGCACCCTGTAACATGGTGTGGATGAAGTACATAGGTCCTACAATAGCCCCCTTTTAAAGATGACTTCTCTCTAAACTAATTGTAAAGCATATTCAAGGAAGAGCTTATAAAGTATCAAGTGGCTTTATCCCCCTCCTCTCCTTTTATCCCAGGCCCCAACGGACACTTTTCTGTCTATCCCTCTAGGTTTGTCCTAGGTATCTAAAAACACATGCAGCTGGGGGCTTCCTTTCCCCTGCTCGCCGGTCCCCTCCCCTCCACACACAAATGAGCCTAGGCTGCTGCTGGGCTTGAATCTACAGCATGCTTTTTCCCACCAGCTTTCCATGTCAAGTAACTACATACATTTTGACTGTCTCTTAACATATGTGTAGCACCGTGTGGTATGGGAGCAGTGCATGTTCACTACCCACCCACAGATTGCTAGGCACCGCCATGTGTTTCTGCTTTTGAAATAATGTTGCAGTGGCTGCCCTTGTCTATGGAGAGCAGGCGAACATGCTGACTGGAATGTGTCTACGAGAGTATGAGTGCCTTGGAGGTTCTTTATGAACAAGCTGCTTCTCGGAAGCAGAGGGTCAATTTCAAGAATTCATTACCGCCAGGAGGTACACACAGCTAAACATTTAAGTTCAAGAGGGGTTGAGAGAAAACTGCATCTCTGCTGAGCTTTTAAAGCCCTCCGTGTCTGGCCGGAACTTTACCTCTAACTCTTCTCTCCTCTGCCCCATGTCTAACTGGACTCCTCACTTTTCTGATGGTGCTACTGCATACCTGGGTTTACTCTCTCCTCCCCACATTCCACCTGACATTTTTTGCCATTATTTTTTTAATCATTTTATTGGGGGCTCGTACAACTCATCACACTCCCTACATCAGTGGAATCGGGCATGTTTGTGCATATGTTGCTCGCATTCTCTTCTCCACCTGGCATTTTATCCTGCCCCTTTCTGTTCCTTCATTCCTGCTGTGCAGGCCTGGCTTTTGCTTTCTCTCTGTCCAGAATGCTTCCTCCAGCTCGTCATTTCTCGATCCTGGCTGCACAGTGGCATTTCCTTGGAGCTGTCGAAATTCTAATGCCCAGACTGAGCCACAGGCAGAGACCAATGCAGTCAGAGTCTGTAGGGGTTGACCGAACCCTCGGACATCTCTCCAGGGGGATCACCTGGGCAAATGAGGTTGAAATCCAGTCCTCTGGATCTTCCTATGTCTGACACGTCTTCTTATCATTCATAACTCACTTCAAAGGACACCTCCTCAGAGAGGGCCTCCCTGCCTGCCCCAGCTAAAGTACAGCCCCCACCTCAGCTCCCCATTATCATTTGTTTTGTCTCCCTGGTTTATCCCTTCGTCTTCCACACCCTGCCAACTACAAGTCTTCCACACCCTGCCAACTACATCGTCTTTCTTTGTTGATGTGCTTGCCTGCTCCTACCCCACGCCCACCAAAATCAGATGTCAAGAAAAGCAGGGAGGGGCCCTTCACCACGGTATCCCAGGGCCTTGAAGAGATCAGACAAGAACCAAGACTCAGGAGTCCTGGCTTCAGCAATGACCAGCTGTTTGCCATTGGGCTTTACCACATAACTTCTCTGGGCCTTGATGCTCTGTTCAACGGGGACGATCGGGGTGTCCACTCCTAGGATGGTGCGTCACCCCATAATGCTCAGGAGTGTTAGTCATTGTTGTTAACATGTGTTATGCATCAGTAGCACACTGAATTCCCTCCCCCTTTCCCTCTCCTCGTCTCTTTTTTTTCTCCCCAGCACTTAGCACCCTTTGACTGTCCTGCTAGCCTATGTGCTTATTTGTTTATTGCCCAGGGTCACAAACGGCATGAGGGCAGGGATGACTCGCTCTGCTCCGGTCTGGCATGCTGCAGCTGCTCAATACCAGCGCCTGTCTCCTGCTCACGCCATCTCCCTGTCTCTCCCCACCCCCAGGATTACCTCACTGACCTCATCACCAATGACAGCGTTAGCTTCTTCCGAACGTCCAAGAAGATGTACCCGCACAGGCCGGTCCTGATGGTCATCAGCCATGCAGCCCCCCACGGCCCTGAGGACTCCGCGCCCCAGTACTCTGGCCTCTTCCCCAACGCCTCTCAACACATGTGAGTTTCCAACGCCGTGTGGCAGAGCCACTGACCGGCCTGGTGGTGCAGGGACAAGCGGTGGGACCATGGTGGCAGAGCTGCCTCCCAGGCCTTCTCTCAAATGCTCCAGAGCCAAAGGCCCCAGGAGCCCGCTGCTCATCCTGGGTGGGCCTGGGACACTAAGCCTGTCGGACCCCACAGCAGGAGACGAGGGTTTAATCCATCAGCTACACCCCCTCTAAGAGGTCTCTGTGAAGAACTTCGATTCAAGATGGCAGGGCCCTTCAGTAACCCTCTGCACTTGATTTAATGCACTTACAAATAGTCTTCAAACAAGGGCCCACCCCTGGACCCAGCTGCGATGATCCTACCCACTCTTGGGGGTGGCAGGCTATCACGGGTGCCCTATCCTGTTGGTCGCCCCCTCCTACCATGTGGGAGGAGACCACACAAGGGCACACATACCAGGAGGCAGGTTCTAGGAGGCCGACTCGGCATTCCCGTTTTACAGTGGAAGAAACTGAGGCTCCACAAGGTGAGGTGACCTCCCTCAGGCCACCCAGCGGGTCAACAGCAGAGCTCAATGCGGCCCATCTCTGCCCAGCCCGCCAGCCGCCCTAGCTGATAGTAAATCGTTCTTGCTTTTTTGAGAAAAACAAAAGCATCTTTAATAGATGTGCTAGGATAGAAATCCTGGTGAGGTAGCATCCGACTGCTAACCGCAAGGTCAGCAGTTCAAAACTACCAGCCACTCATTTGGAAGAAAGATGAGGCTCTCTAGTCCCATGAAGAGTCACAATCTCAGAAAGCCATGGGGGCAGTTCTACCCTGTCCTGTAGAGCCACACATCAACTCAACAGCAGTGAGTGAGGATAAGAATGGGGAGGAGGGTCTGTTTCTCTCTCCAGGCCCTGACTGCCCTCCAACAAGGCCAAGTCCCTGCCCTCTGGCGCTTGCCATCTGCAGGGCACTGCAAAGCCTGGCCTCCAAGGACTGCCCCATCGAGCGACTGCTGCTGCTTACAGTCTGCCTCCCCCTCAGCGTTTTCAGAATTGCCTTTGATCGCTTTTTGTTGAACGCTTCTTCCCCCTGGGGAGTCGCCGTGGCCCCTCCTCGTGGCCACCGTGGGACAGGAACCCCTGTGGGCTGGGTTGTGGACAGTGCAGTTCTGAACCAGGGTCTCAGTACTGTCGACACACTGCGGTCCAGGACAGATCATTCATAGACCACCACACCGACGCTACGGGACCAGCCCAGGCCCCTGAAGGAGCTCCCCACACCCAGCCTTAGGCCCGGAACCGCTTGCTGTGTGCGCACCTGTGTTTGTGTGTGTGTGCGTGTGACTTGTCTCAGGAGGATGGGAGGTCAGGGCAGAAGGTGACCTGTTTCGGCTCCACTACGATGCCAGGCCAGGAGTGCTGGTGACCTCATGTTACCCACTGGCTGCTAACTGCAAGACCGGCGGTTTGAAACCACTAGCTGCCCCATGGGAACAAGATGAGGCTGTCTACTCCTGTAAAGATTCACAGCCTCAGAAACCCACAGAAGGCAGTTCTACGCTGTGGTTTGTGATGGAAAAACCAAGGCTCCATGCTCCACGGCTGGCCTCCCCTCTGTCCATTTCCCAGGTGTCGCTGTGTGCCAGGTCCGGCGCAGCCCGGCCCGGCCCTCCCTTCTCAGGACAGTCGTGTTGGCTCCACTAATAAATCGTGCTCTGTCCCCAGACCCAACCTTCAGCAGCGGTCAACCCCACAAGCTTAGCAGCCGTGGCAGTGACATTGCAGGAGACACGGACAGGGCGACATGGAAGCTGCCTGCACTTGCAGGGTGTTTCATTTTCATGACAAACAGAATGCACAGCCCCCTCTCTGATGGCCGTGCAGGTCACTCAGAGGACAGGGTATAGGAAGCATCTGGTCTCAGGTCTGTGGGGAAGGGGATCTGACAGACCAGATGGAACCCCGCTCCCACCGCCTTCAGCACCACCCCAACACCCTTCCCCCTGCAGCCTGGCCCCACCTGCTTAGCTCACTCTGAGCCCCCTCCCCAAGCTAGTCTTCCTCTCCCACCAAATGAGGAGGCAGGAGACACCCCATCCTCTCTGGGGCCAGCCCTGCCGTGGACTCTTGCTGCAGCAGCAGCCACCGCTGGTGGGGGGTGCTTCCAGTGGGGTTTGTGGGGGAGAGTTGTTAGCCATTGACTGCTCATCTAGTTGCTCTCTGGAATGGAAATGAAGCCATGGAAAATGAGCAGGGCCGCGGTTACTGACACGGAGAAGCCCCCTCGCCTTCTTGGGGCTGGTTTGGAAGGCTCCCTTGTCTCTGGGGCATAATCATTTCCAAAACAAAACCGGAAAAAAGAAGGAAAATTCTGCAGCTGGGCGGTTTAATTCTGGCCGTCAGGAGGGTGACAAGGGGCCCGGCCTGCTGGTGGGAGGGGAGCCGAGTGCCTGCTTCTCTACTAACATCTGCCCCCCCCCCCACACCCGTGACACACACACACACACACACACACACACCCCTGCACCTGGCTCCCGGAGCAAGCCTGGTGGAGCTCTGGAGCTTTAAAGATACCCTCACAGGAATCGTTTTCCGCGTCACCCAGCCTTCGTTTGATCTGAAACCCGGCTCCTCGTCTTCTGTTCCCTCCAAACCAAACGCACCACATGGCTCTGACTCACAGCGATGCTGCACTGCCCCTGTGGGTTCCCAGCCTGTAACTCTACAGGAGTAGAAAGCCGTTCTCTTCCACAGAGAGGCTGCCGGTCTAGAACTGCTGAGCTTGGGGTTAGCAGACCAACACGTCACCTACGCGACCAGGGCCCCTTACGTGCTGTGAAGGGGGTTGAAATACAGCCTCTCTCCTCCGTGGGGTGTGTCCCCCCACCCCCCAGGGTGCTCCACAGGCTAGGGGGCCTGCACCTACTCAGGTCCTGGAGCCCAGTGTGGGCTGGGGAGACGAGGAGCGTTGGTTTGCTCTGGGTTTGCTCCAGTGCGGAGAGATGCTAAAGCCAATAGAGCTGTGTTCTCGCCGCTCCGCCCTCCCACAGAGGCCCCCCTCGCTGTGAGGCCACTGGTCACACGGCAGAGCGGTGGCCATGTCAGCTCCCGAGGGTGGACACTGAGACCTCAAAGCCCAGTGCTGCTTGTGACAAGTCAGCTCCCCTCCCTGGGCCCCCGTCCCTCACACAGAGACCAGAGACGGGGCCTGCTCCCAGGACTGCCGTGAGAAGTAACTGGGGTGACCATTGGTAGGCTATGGAGGACAGTGGGAGCCCAAAATCCACCTGCGGAGCATCTAGGCAGATCCCCGCCAGCCCCAGGCGAGGGACTCAAATGCGTTTACTGTCAGACAGAAGACTGTGAACTTGATTAGGGTGGATCGAACCACTTGGAATAGGATACTGGGTCCGTTGACCCTGAATTTGCTCTGGGCTCAAGTATTTCTCGCTTGTTCCACAACAGGGATTTCTTCTCTAGCTTTTTACATATTGCTGGTGGTCTTTTCGTTCTTCCTCTGTTTTTGTCTACATGCCACTGTTATTATTAGCTTCTTTCCGTTTTGTCTGCTTGTCATTCTTTGCTCTGTGGTGTTTCCTCTTCCTGAAGCCCACGGTCAGCAGTGGAAGCAGAGACGGGAACTGCTGCAGCGGTTTATCGGGGAGGCATGGGGTGGGGCGGGGCGGTGTAGGGAGCAAACCGTGAATGCAGCGCACTAAAACTGACAGCGATGATGTATACACAACTCTTCCTTAAAGCGATGTAACGATGGCAGTGTAAGGTATGTGCGTATTTTATTGAGAAAACTGCCCAAAGTAAGTGGGATGGCACACATGGGCCTTGGGGCCACACCCAGGACCTGTCACAAGTTCCCGTTTCTTGCCCCATTTGTCATCAGTACTGACGCTTGGCCCCATGCCAGGACTCAGGGCCTGGTGGCTGCCCAACCCATGAGGCCTTCAGCGGGTCCCCAAAACCCAGGTCTCCCTGGTGACCTGGGACAGGAAACTGACACTAGGATTGTGAGCAAGCAAAAAACTGGCATCAGATCTTTCTGACAGGGCTGCCCTGTGAGTGTCCAAGACGGCAGCTCTTTACGGGAGTCGGAAGCCTCATCTTCCTCCCTCAGAATGGCTGGTGGTTTCGAACTGCTGACCTTGCAGTTAGCAGCCCAACATGTAACCCCCGACACCACCAGGCTCCTGAGGAGGGCTGTGGCACTCCCTCACGACCTGGCCCCGTGTGCATAACTCTTCCCTGCTTACTTAATTTTTAAACCAGTGTGCTTTTTCTTCTACCCAAACCAGCCTTCACCACAGAGCCCCTGCCAGGCCCAGACTTTGCACACACTCGGCTGCCAGCCAGAGCCGGGGGTTCACATCCACCCAGGACACCTCGTAAGAGCGGCCTGGTGACCTCCCGGCCAAATGAGCCCACATTTCGAAAAAGCTGTGGACTCCACGGCGACGGATGGTGGTTAGGTGTCCACTTCGACCACCAAACCCGTGCCATTTGCCACGAAAACAAGCAAACTGATTGCCATGAAGTTGATTCTGACTCACCCTGACCCAAGACGGAGTGGACCTGCCCCGTGGGCTTCCGAGACTGAAAATCTTCATGGGAGAGAAAGACCTTCGTCTTTCTCCCTTGGAGCGGCTGGCAGATTCCAACCCTCAGGCTTCCGGTTAGCAGTTCACCATGTAACCCACAACGCTACGGGGATGCCCTGTCCTCCGCCATGACTGCCCCAAACCACACCACACCCACTGCCACCAACTCAATTCCAAGTCAGAGTGGCCCTGTGGTTTCTGAGACTAAATCTTTATCGGAGCAGACAGCCTCATCTTTCTCTCAGACAGTGGCCAATGGGTTTGAACCACCAACCTATGGTTAGCAGTCCGACGGTGCCACCAGGGCTGCCAATCGCCTTGGTAACTGAAAAAGAAATCCAGTAGGAACTGAATTACAGCTGGCTGTTGGTGCCTGCGGAAGATTTTAAACCCAAGCCCTCCCTTCTCCAGAGAGAGCGGGTTCCAGGGAGGGGCTCAGGAAGGCACCTGGGAAGGCTGGCCTGTGGATGCTGGGAGGGGCAGCCGAGGCTCTGCCGTGGCTGTGCCATTGAAAGCTTCCCCTGCTCCAGCCTCCCAGGCTGGGCCCCACAGAGAGCCTCCGGGCTGGAAGGGAGGACGCCGCTTAGCAGAGTCTTGACACCCACCCCTATTTGCCGGGCGGCCCAGGGCCCCTGTGGGCTGACTGCTGTGTGTGTTTGCCCGACAGCACACCGAGCTACAACTACGCACCCAACCCTGACAAGCACTGGATCATGCGCTACACGGGGCCCATGAAGCCCATCCACATGGACTTCACCAACATGCTGCAGCGGAAGCGCCTGCAGACCCTCATGTCCGTGGACGACTCCATGGAGACGGTAGGACGCATGCGCCCGTGCACAGACACACTGACCCCTCTACCCACGCAGGACCCTGACACACACGGATACACAGAGACCTAGACATGTTCACGCGCGTGCACACACACACACACACACTCACAGACACAGGCCACCACTTCCACATGCTCTCCTGGCAGTCACTCGGGACCCCTCCTGGTCATCAGCAGGGTGGACGGGTGGGCAGAGGTGGGTGGGCAGGCTCTGGGAGCACTGAGCACTGGGAGGCTGCCCTGTGGATTTGCATGACCCCGGCGGCAGTGGCAAGCTTAGTGAGACACGGTCTCCACTGCACACAGCTGACCTCTTTGTCGCCTGCTTCAGTGTACAGTTCGGTGGTCTGTCCCCCTATGTTCGCCAGGTGTCCCCCTCACCACAGTGTGGGAACATTCTCATCCCCACAAAGGAGGAAAGCCCCCGCCCTCAGGAAGCACCCTCAGCTCACCCACCTTCTCTCTGCAGGGCTTTGCCTGCTGGGCATCCCCTATCAGTGGACGCATCTGACACGGGGTCCTTGGTGACTGCTGGCCACGGCTCGCCCATCTATGGGGTGGCGTGGGCCAGCGCCACCCGTGGGGGCTGGGTGATGCCCGTGGCGGGTATAAAAGCAGTCTGCAGGCTCCTGGCTATTGAACTGCATAACAATGAAAGTGGTTTTGAGCATGCAGTTCCATCCAGCCATCCAGCCAGTGAGCATGCAGGAGCCCCAAGTTCATGAAAACCCCAAAACCAAACTCACTGCCATGGAGTGCGTGTCCGAGATTGTATAACTGCCAACCATGGGGATCACAGCCCAAGGCCTCACCACTGCCCCACCGGGCTCCTTACATGGAACACAGCGGGGAGCAAAAGGTCAAGAGCCTTTGCCCAGCGGGGGCTGACATTCTGGCACTGGGTGCCGGGGACAAACGAAGTAGGTCCTGTAAGCGCTGATGAGGATCCCCAGTGGTGCAGCGGTTCAGTGCTCGGCTGCTAACCTAATGTTGGTGGTTCAAACCCACCCCCCGGCTGCCCAGGGGAAAGGCCTGGCGTCTGCTCCGCGAGGTGCCGGCAAAGGAAACCATTTGTCGCGTGGGGTTGCTAGGAGCCGGCCGGACCCATGGCCCCCGACAGCTGCAGCCGTTGAGAGGAGAGCAGGGCTGCAGGCAGGAAAAGGGGTGGGGTTGTTTTAAACAGGGTGGCCCCCAGCCCTCATTAGGGGATGCTGGAGGGGAGAGCACCCCATCAACCCTGATCTCGGTGCCCCTCCACCGCCGTCACCCCCTTGTCGTCCCTGGTCACCTGTGCTACAGATTTACAACATGCTGGTGGAGACGGGCGAGCTGGATAACACCTACATCGTCTACACCGCTGACCACGGCTACCACATCGGCCAGTTCGGCCTGGTGAAGGGCAAGTCCATGCCCTACGAGTTCGACATCAGGGTCCCCTTCTTTGTGCGGGGCCCCAATGTGGAGGCTGGATCTCTGTGAGTGTGCCCCCCCACCACCACCAGTCCTCACCCCACCTCCTCCGGCTCAGACTGGCCTCGCCGTCTAGTCCCGCCTTGGGTCGTGTACAAGAGACACCCAGGGAAGGTTTGAAACAGGGATTCTGTCTCCCCAGAGGGTACTACCACACTCCTTACCCCTCTGTCGGGGAGGGAGCGGCCCACCACCAACACTGGCCCAACCCACCCCAAACTCACTGCCACCGAGTGGATGCCGACTCCATTGGTAGCCACCTTCCGGGACAGGGGGGACCTGCCCTGGGCGTATTGGAGACTGACTGTTCATGGGCCCCATCTTTCTCCTGAGGCGCCACCGGGCAGGCAGCAGTCGAGTTTGTAACCACGATGCTCCTAGGGCCCCCTCCAGTGATGCATGATGGTCGCAGCCAAAAAGCCTGTCGGGGCCCAGCAGGCTGAGTGGGGGCTGGCTGGGAGCACCCCCCATGTGGCCATGGCTGGGTCTGGCAGGGAGCCTCTGTGCCAGCCTGGGGACGTGCCCCCCCTCACCCCAGCCCTGCCCTGAGGCAGGAGGAAGAGACCTGGGGCCAGGGCTTGTTCAGAGGCTGAGGTGCAGAGGCCCAGGAAGGGCAGGTTGCAGTGACGGGGGTCCTGGTGGGACCTCTGCTCAGGTCACAGTGGGCAGGGAGGGCATTCCTGCCACAAGAGCGGCCAAGCAGAGGCCAGGAGGGAGAGGAGGTCGAAGCCTGCAGGCCCCTAGGGGTGGACAGGAGGATCTCCAGCAGTGTCCCTCTTGCTCAGGGCCACAGCGTGCAGACCTCCCTCCCTCCCTCCAGGTGCCCCCCTTCTAAGTGAGGTCAGGCACCATTGCCCACGTGGCAAGTCCCTGCTCTCCCTCCCCAGGAACCCCCACATCGTCCTCAACATCGACCTGGCTCCCACCATCCTGGACATCGCGGGCCTAGACATCCCCACCGACATGGACGGGAAGTCCATCCTCAAACTGCTGGACACGGAGCGCCCTGTGAACCGGTGAGGAAGATGGTGGGAGGCCACTCTGTGGGAGGGACAGGAAGAAAGGTGTCCCCTCTCCAAGACTCCATCTCCCCAGCCAGAATGCAGCAAGGACCCTCCCCAGGAATGGACACTGCACGCCCACTTGCTGAGCGCTGTCTTTGTGACCCTGACAGCGGCCAGGGGGAGGGCACACCGATTGTCCTCAGTGGCTGGGCCAAGTTCGGCAGGGCAAGCCTAGAGAGTGAGGGACTTGCAGGTCAGATGCTAGACCAGAGACCACACTCTTGATCAAGTGTCTTTGGCTTTAATGTCCATGGGAATGTATTCCTGAGGGTCTAAGGAGGCAGCAAAGGGAAGGGGCCCAGAGCAGCAGGTAAGAACAGGTGGGAAATCCAGGGGGAACAGCCACTAGTGTGGCAGCGGTGACATCTGGTGGCCGTGTCTGGAATTGCCTGCCAGGCTAAAGGCCCTGAGGTGCTGTAATTCTTGTGTGCCCGCAAGGTTTCCTCTATGACTCCCAGGGGACCTAGTGTCTGGTGACCCCTTCTGGTTACCCTAGAACCAGGTGGGGGTGTGGGGTGGGGACGTGAACATTTTGGCAACAGTAATAAAAGATTCCTAAACATGCAGCCTCCAAAATGGAATTCCAAATCCAACTCGTCACGAATGGGAGATGTGTGGTAGCACTTGCCTGTGTTGTCAATTTCTCTGGCAAAAAAGGGTCACGAGTTGAACGGGTTTAAGAATTGCTTCTGTGGGGGACCCCTCCCCTTTAGCCTCTTCCCTCAGACAGGCTGGGGGGAGGGGGTGTTCTGGGAGTGATGGCTTCAGAGCAGCCCAGCCTCAGAGCCCCCATTTGGGTTGCAGAAAGGACAGTGTGAGGTCACAGGGCATGCACCTGGAAATCGCCCAAATCATACTGAGGGATCCAGGAAAATGCCCCGAAACACAGAGCCATTAGCCTGGAGCAAAGCCCCCACTTCACGGGGTGCTGAGCTGAAGGGAGGGGGGTCCTGCCACATGGAGTGGGGGCTGTGGGGCTCCAGGAGCAGGCCGCCCACACATACACCCGAGGGAGCAGTTTGGACCTGCCCTCTGAGCCCATAAGAGTCGTCTGTGGCTGGCACAGTGGGGCACGTGCTCAGCTCCTGCCTAAAGGTTGGAGGCTGAGGCCCCTTGGTTGTGCAGGAAGAAAGGTCTGGCTAACCTACATCAAAGGGAAAGCCTGTCTTTGGAAACCCCTGCAAGCCGTCTGCCCTGAGTTGGCATCAATCACCCCAATGGCTACTGGCCAGACCGGTGCGTTGAGGGGGTCCCGGTGGACACAGCTAGCACACGTGTGGCTGCGGTGCCGAGCAGGTTTCCACAGACTGTCCAGGCTGAGATGGTTTAGGAAGAAGGACCTGAAATCCATCCTTGAGAACCCATGGGTCCCAGGGTGTGTGTGTGTGTGTGCGCGCGCGTGTGTTAGCCTGCCTGCTGGTCCCAGGGACCCAGACCTGTGCTGGTTGGGGCCCAGCCATCTCTGTCCGGGGGCAGGGTAGGGTGAGGGCTGTGAGACCCCCATATGGACGAGAAGCTGCAGCTATGATTTCTTCCAGGTTCCATCTGAAAAAGAAGGTTCGGGTCTGGCGGGACTCCTTCCTGGTGGAGAGAGGGTGAGTAGCAAAGCCGCCAGCAGCCCTCCTGAATGCCTCCCCCACCACATAGCCCAGCAGCACCCTGCAAGGCAGGAGAAAGACTATCACTGCCCTGCGGGCAACCCTGGTGGCAGAGTGTATTAGGCATCGGGCTGCTAACCACAGGGTGAGCAGTTCTAAACCACCAGCTGCTCCACAGGAGAACGATGAGGCTTTCTGCCTGGGTAAAGGGCTACAGTCCTGGGAACCCACAGGGCAGTTCGACTCTGTTCTATAGGGTCGCTGTGAGTCAGAATGGACCCGGTGCCAGGAAGCTTGATGGGGACCTGTCACCCGGGCCCCACAGTGTGCACGCTCCCTTGCCCCATGGAAGCCCTGTGGTCGACAGGCGTCCTGGTGATGTGGTGGTGGAGTGCACAGAGCTAACCCTGGGGTGCAGGGGAGGCAGATGAGGCAGCCTGCTCTGTAAAGATTAATGACCTAGAAAACCCTGTGGGCGGTGGCCCGAGTCACATAGGTCCCTCTGAGTTGGAATCACGCCGGCGGCAGGCACCAACAATAACTTCGGCATGAAGGTTGGCGGTGCCGTGGAATCAAGGCCTGGCTGTGGGCCTCCTACACCATCAGCCCAAAGCAGTCCTCCTGTGACACACGTCACCAGGGTTGGACTCGAGCAGAAGCCACAAGTCTGGATTTCGCTTCCATCGAGATAGCAGCCCTGGAGAAAGATTCCAAAGGGAGGTGTCCCCACAGACACAGCCCGTGGGGTGGGGGTGGGGGGCCGGAGGGGGCACCTTCCGGGCATGTTGGGCTCCCAGAGGCCAGTGTGGTTGCAGGTGTGAGCACCAGAGAGGCGAGGCTGGCTGAGGACTGGTCTGCTGACAGCCCTGGGAGGCTGGGAGCACTGGAGGTAGCCAGGGGTACGTGAGTGTGGGGAGCGAGGGCAGCACCGGGAGACAACGAGGAGGTGCCTGAGATGGTCCAGAGCCAAGTGCGCCATAGAGGGCTGAGCTGTGAGTGATCAGCAGGACTGGTAGGCGTGCAGGGAGACTGCCAAGGGTGAACACGCCCCACGCTTAGCAGAAAGGTTGGGGCTCCCAGAGGCACCGCAGAAGAAAGGCCTGGCAGTCCCCTTCTGAAACCAGCCGCGAGGCTGCTGGGGCGCAGTCTCCTGACAGACACCGGAGTCCCGCGTGTGGGTCAGAGAAGGCTGGCAGGGAGTGGGAGGGTGGCAAGCACCAGCAGGCATATCCAGCTGCCCAGGTAGAAGTCAGGAGAGGGGTGATGGCGGGGACCACTGAGTCTGGGCCAAGGCCCAGTTGCTGTGAAGCCAGCTCGCCTTCCGCCCGCCCGCAGCAAACTGCTCCACAAACGGGAGAGTGGCGACAAGGTGGACGCCCAGGAGGAGAACTTCCTGCCCAAGTACCAGCGCGTGAAAGACCTGTGTCAGCGCGCCGAGTACCAGACAGCCTGCGAGCAGCTGGGGCAGGTGAGGTGCATCGGGGGACCCTCTCTGACATCACACTGCCCGCAGTTCCCTTGGGGGGCAGGGGCAGGACTCGGGAATGTTGAGAGAGACCCGAGGCCTCCCCCTCGGGCAGCCGGACAGAGGCCATGGGGGTGGGCGGCCGTGGCCTTGGCGTCTGGAGCCTGGCATGTCCTGCAGAAGTGGCAGTGCGTGGAGGACGCCACTGGCAAGCTGAAGCTGCACAAGTGCAAAGGCCCCGTGCGGCCCGGTGGTGACGGCAGAGCCCTCTCCAACCTGGTGCCCAAGTACTACGGGCGCGGCGGGGACGGCGGTGGCGAGGCCTGCACCTGCGACCGCACCCACTACAAGCTGAGCCTGGCTGGGCACCGGAAAAAGCTCTTCAAGAAAAGTAAGTGTCTCGTAGCGAGGCCACTGACCTTCCCACCAGGGACCGGGCTGTTCTAGAACATTCTGGGATGTTCTGGGGACACAGGCCATACCCGCACGCCCCGGTCCTGTCCAGTGGAAAAGTAGGGGGGTTTGCAGAAGCAGCTGAAGGGCAGGCGAAGAGGCTTGTGGAGGGCGCGCGGAGGGGCCCGAGTTGGGCCAAAGATGCTCAGATGTGAGGAAAGTGTCCCAGAGCGGGAGAAGCACTGGGCTGCGTCTCTGTGGACAAGAGGAGACTGCCTCACTACACGTAGGAAAGGGCAGACGTGGGCACGGCTTCCGAGACTCGGAAGCTGCCGACCTCGCAGCCAGCATCCCGGGCCTAGAAACGACTGGTTCCCCTGGTGATGCTCTTCGCAAAGAGTCGTCGACTGTGAGGGGAGCTGGGCCTGCGCCGGGGCAGCACAGGCAGCAGGGAGAGGCGAGAGTGGAGAGTGGACGAGGGCTGCCTGCCAGGAGGACTTGGTCTTGCTGAGGCCTGGGCAGGTGGCCACGATTGGCCCCTCCGGAGCCAGGCACTGCCCCCTGTGACAACCCAAACCGTCGGTTCCAATCCACAGCGGCCCACAGGACAGAGCAGAACAGCTGCATGTGTTCTCTAAGGGGCTTTCTGCACTGTCATCTCTGTGGAGACAGCCCTGGTGGCTGAAATCATTGGTTCACAGATTGGATTACTCGGCTAATACCTCTCTCTTCCATCAGCAGCACAGTAGATGATCTTTAAACAATACGGGAACTTGCAACTCAGTGAAGCTTTTTTTCTCCCCTGAGAAGGCTCAGAGGCCTTTTAAAGAAAGCACCTGAGCTGCAGGGGACTCAGCACCGCAGTGAGTCCTCGTGACACAGCCAGGTCACCACAGGTGGAAGGACAGGAAAGCCGGGTCCTGGCCCACCATCCTTCCTCCCGCAGTACATGTCCACAGCACACGCTCTGACTCACTGCCCCGAGCAGGCAGCCACGGAGGTTTCTACTGAGGGCATCCGACCAGGTCTGGTCATCACAAGTGGATGAGGCGGGAGGGTGCTACTGGTATCCAGGGATTCTGCCAGCCACCCCCCAGTGCACAGGACCGGAGTGAACTACATGGCCCCAGTGGCAGTCAGGCTGAGGGTGAGCAGCAGAAGTGACCAGGCCCAGGGGTGAGATGATCCCCCAGGGAGGGGCCCAGGAGGGCTGGTGCTTATTCATTTACTCCCAACAAACCCTCAGGGCCCAAAGAAGGTGGGGGGGTGGACCTCGCAAATAGTTTTCACACTTCCAGGAAAGGTTGGCTGGTGGCATTTGGAAGCCACCCAGCAGCACTGCGGAAGAAAGGCCTGGTGACCTGCTTCCATTAAATGTGCGGGCAAGAAAACCCTATGCAGCACATCGACCAGACAGCGATGAGTTTGTTTTGTTTTGACTAGATGTTGCAAAGAAACCCTGGGGGCTAGTGGGTTACAAGTTGGGCTACCAACCACAAGGTTAGTAGTTCAAAACCACCAGCTGCCCCAAGGAAGAAAGATGAGGCTGTCTGCTCCTGTGGCAATTACAACCTCCGAAACCCTGAAGAGGGTCACTATGAGCCAGAATGGGATCCCTGCTGGTATATCAGGGTTAGGCAGGGGGCTGCTAACGACAAAGTCAGAAGTTCAAAACCACCAGCCACTCTGCAGGTGAAAGATGAGGCTTTCTCCCTCCGAAAAGAATTACATTCTGGGAAACTCTTAGACAGTTCTGCTCAGTCCGGTAGGGTCCCTGTGAGTTGGCAGCCACCCGATGGCAGTGCGGTTTTCATGAGATCAGCTTAACCGCAGCAGCTCTGGGGCGGAGTGAGGAGGCGGGGGTCAGCGGAGAGACGCACAACTCAAAGAGGATCATCTGCGTCCGGGTTGTCCGTGTGCACGTGGTTGGGTGGTGTATAGGGAGGTGCCCAGGCAGCACAGAGCCTCAGGCTTGGTGCTCAGAGACCAGATTGTGATGCTAGTGCCAGGGACCTCACGCTGCCCGCCTCTGCCACCCAGAGTACAAAGCCGGCTACATGAGGAACCGCTCCATCCGCTCGGTGGCTGTGGAGCTGGATGGTGAGGTGTACCACGTGGGCCTGGAGGATGTGCCCCAGCCCCGCAACCTCACCAGGCGGCATTGGGCAGGGGCCCCTGAAGACCAGGACGACCAGGACACTGGGGACTTCAGTGGCACAGGCGGCCTCCCCGACTACTCAGCCCCCAACCCCATTAAAGTGACACACCGGTGAGAGCCCAGGCGGCTGGGAGGGAGGGGCAGGCAGGGGGGCCTTGGTAAGGGCCGCTTGCTGCCTCTGGGCTCCCCAGGGCCACCCATGAGCCCGTCTCCTGCAGGTGCTACATTCTAGAGAATGACACCGTCCAGTGTGACCTGCTCTTGTACAAGTCCCTGCAGGCCTGGAAAGACCACAAGCTGCACATCGACCACGAGGTGGGCCGGACACCTGCTCAGGCTGGGGAGCCAGGGAGGCCAGACCCGGGGCAGGGCCCTATAGCATCCGTGGGGGTGGGTGAGGCCGCCAGGGCCCCTGGCATGGACGGAGCCGTATCTGCTGAGCAGACATCCAGGCTGACTGGGCACAGGGCCCTAAGCCAGCCCTCCTCTGCTCGCTCCTCAGATCGAAACCCTGCAGAACAAAATTAAGAACCTGCGGGAAGTCCGAGGTCACCTGAAGAAAAAGCGGCCTGAAGAATGTGACTGCCACAAAATCAGGTGAGGCTTCCCCTCCCCCTGCCCCCACCTGAGCGAGCGAGGTCCCTCCTGCCTGAGCCCACCCTGGGAGACAGGGGCTCCCAGGAATGCAGTGTGCCCTGGGAAGCTGCTCTCATTGTTTCCAACTCCCCTCGGTAAAACAAAATCATTTATTCCCACCCTCACTGTCAGCTTGTGGTGTCCATAAGTCCCCCGCCCCCCAGGCTGCCAGTCAGACAGCAAGCAGTCCATGTCCCCGGCCGGCCTGCAGGGCAGCTACAGGCAGCAGAACTTGCTAGCTGGTGGCAGGGACCTGCCCACACTGGAAAGGTGCTCAGTGTAGCTGAGTGTAGGTTCTTGAATTCAGAGAGCAGGGTGTTTCTGTGTTAGAGCGCACAGCTGTGGCTTCTAGAAAGGATGTGCTGGCCCCTGACCAAGCAGAGGGTGGGATTGGGTGGGGACCACCTGGGAAGGCTGAGGCCAAACGCAGGGCAGGGCCACCCCAGAGAGAGGCCGTGGTTGGGTAGCAGCCCCCAGGAAGGTATCTGAGCTCCGGCCGGGCCTGTTCCAGCTACCACACCCAGCAGCACAGAGGCCGCCTCAAGCACAAGGGCTCCAGCCTGCACCCCTTCAGGTAAGGACAGGTGCCCGTGGAGGCTCTCACATGGCCGCACCCTGCTCCTAAAGCCAACAGGACAGTCAGCCTCCCACCCACAGCCCCTCCCAGGATAACCGCCACACGCCCCCTCGAGGCCAAAGCGGGTGCTGCAGCCTCCCCAAACCAAGAGGGACCAGGAGCTGGGTGGGAAGAGGGCTGGGCAGGGCTCCCTCTCTTGCTGGCCTCCCCCAGCCCAGCCTCTGAGGGTTACCGCATCCCTGTTTCCGTTGCCAGGGAGGCAATCTTGACTCGGGCCACACTACCCACATGTGCAGGGTAGACCCGCTCCCTGGGGTCTAAACCCAAGCCTGTCTCCCTAGGCTCAGCTTCTGGATGGGTTTGACCACTCACCTTTGGGGCGTAGCCCAGCCATTGGGCCCTGGGGGACGGGGGCGGAGCCGGCACTAGGTGCGAGGGTGCGCTGGCTGTGCCGCAGGAAAGGGCTGCAGGAGAAAGACAAGGTGTGGCTGTTGCGCGAGCAGAAGCGCAAGAAGAAGCTGCGCAAGCTGCTCAAGCGGCTGCAGAACAACGACACGTGCAGCATGCCGGGCCTCACCTGCTTCACCCACGACAACCAACACTGGCAGACGGCGCCTCTCTGGACCCGTGAGCGGAGCGGGTGGGGCGGGGCGGGGGGGCCCCCCCGGCCTGGAGGGGGCGGGGCTGCCCCTGTGGCCTCCTGCACCCTCGCCCCTAAGCCCCTCCCCTCGGCAGTGGGACCCTTCTGTGCCTGTACCAGCGCCAACAACAACACATATTGGTGCCTGCGGACCATCAACGAGACCCACAACTTTCTCTTCTGCGAATTTGCGACGGGCTTCCTGGAGTACTTTGATCTCAACACAGACCCCTACCAGGTAGGGCAGCTGGAGCAGCAGCGGAGGGCTGGGTTGAGCCCAGCTTGTGTGTGGCCTGGCCAACCCCACTCCCATCGTGGGCAACACAAGTGCTTCTCAGCTCTGTGCACTTGGCCTTGCCCGATGGCTGATGTTCCGAGAAACGCCTGAAATCCCGTCCGACCATGTCAGCAGCAGCATTTCATTGTTCCCACGTGTTTTGTTCTGAATGCCAAACAGGCTGCCTGCTCTCCTCCTGGGCGGAAGTTCAGCCCTGTGTTTTACAAAGGTGGTGCCAAGGGCTGGTGGCTTCCCCGGGGACGCTCCCAGGCAAGGCAGGACCCTAGCTCACTCAGGCATCTCAGGAAGAGGGACTAGAGTAGCCTGCTTGGAAATGCAAGTTCAACGCCAAGTACACAGAGGTGGCGCTCATTCCCACGTTGTTGGGGGAGCTCCTGCTGTGGCCAAGTATCCACCACCCACGAGCATCCCAGGCTCAGCTTGTTAGCAGCCCGTCTTTGCCTCCGCAGCTGATGAATGCGGTGAACACGCTGGACAGAGAGGTCCTGAACCAGCTGCACTTGCAGCTGATGGAGCTGAGGAACTGTGAGGGCTACAAGCAGTGCAACCCCCGCACCCGGAACATGGACCTGGGTGAGTCTGGTGGCCAGGGCGTGGTGTCTGTCCCAAAGGGTGCTCCAGGAGTGGGGGCGATCCAGCTACAGACCGGCCATCCGGAAGGTCTGGTAGCCCCAGGGTCGTGTCCAGCACTGCTAGGGGCGGAATGCCCTCTCACCGGATTTCCGTGTACTCAACCACCACTTAGTGTGAACAGCGGTCAGAACCATGCTTGTTACAGGGAGCGGGGAAGGTGAACACAACCCTGACAACACGTGGGCTCTTCCGGGGACAGCAGCCCACACTGGTAGAGAGGCAGTGTGTGAGAGTATGTGTCACTTCTGCCCTAAACCATTCTGCTCTCCCTCAGGACTTAAAGATGGAGGGAGCTACGAGCAGTACAGGTACGTGGCTTGGTTCTAAGTCTACGGAGAAGGCCAGGCAGGGGTCTGGGCCAACCATTGGGGACAGCTGTCACCAGCTGTTGTCAAGTCCTGTGGGGACCTGGTGGCCATCTTGGTGGTGGGTAACACTCCACTCGTTCTCCCTTTGACACTGGCCAACGTAGGCATTTTCAGCGACGCAAGTGGCCAGAGATGAAGAGACCCTCCTCCAAGTCCATGTGAGTTGAGCACCTGGGGTCTTCCTGGCTGGTTCTGCATGGGATGGTGGTGTGGGGGGCGGTGTTTGTGCATACAAAGCCTCGCCTCCCCCTCCCTGGGCTATGACGGGGCACTAAGCGTTAAGGCACAGCACCCTGGCCACTCAGCCTCAGGAGCCACAGTCCTGTCCAGGGCTGACATGCCCTGCATGCCAGCCAGGCAGCGTGAATGTGAAAGTCAAGGACCAGAGCCCCTACCCCACACCCCTTTCCCTAAGCAGCCCGCCCCTGGATGCCTACAGTTTTGCTGTGGGGCTGGCTGTGACCTCTGACCAGTGCTTTCTGCTTCAGGGGGCAGCTGTGGGAAGGCTGGGAAGGCTAAGCAGTGAGAGCCGGACCTCCACACCCAGAGGGGCTCCGAGACCGGCCAGCGACGTGAGGACCCTCCCCCCACCCCCAGGATTTCAGGCCGGCAGACCTCTGCTGCTTGCTGGGAGGCTTTCGGTCCACGTGGCAAATTCTGCAGGATAACCGCCGGGCCTGGAGATGCTTCCAGAAGTCCATTTTTGCCCCTGCTTTTGCTTTGGATTGTACCTCACCAGCCGCACAAAACGCCTTTTCATATCAGTCACCACTAATAGGAGCCCTCTCAGGGGAGAGGGTGCAAAAACCTCTCCTTGGAAAATGCCAAGGGTCACTGGAATTTTCCACTTTCCCCCCCATAAATCGCAAGGGCACAACAATCGCAATTGAAACCCTCTCCTTCCGGCTTGTCACCAAGAAATGGCTCGCGGTTGAAGATGGCGACACCGAGCTACAGCACAAATGGAGGAACCCTCCGCTGGCTGATCACAAGAACCCCGACTGCCGCTGAAGCAGCTGGACCTCACTGTACATATGTGACATCTTGATGTCACCAACGTGGGGACTCCTGGGGAGAGACCTAATGAGACCACCCCGATTCCTAGAGCGGGAGGGTGTCAGTAAACGCTCTGTGTAACGAACAATCCTTGCAGTTGTAGGTCTGTCTGCCCCGCCCCACACCATTCCGCTCGGCGTCCCCCTGCCACCCAGCCTGGGACTGATGTTTTTCTATGGTACTGAAGACTAATGAAGTTGATGTATGTCCCCCGTTTTAATGAAATTGTTCTTTGTAAGGAAATCTTGTAGTCAAAGTATTGTCATACAAACCACGGTCAAAGCCCCCTGCCAGTGGCCAGCCATGCATCAAAGGCCATTCGTGGAGTTACTTGGTGTGTTTTGGTTTTAGGGGAAAAGACCCCTTCAACAGACTACCTGTGGAAACCTTCTGGAAGGAGATGCCCCAGGTCGAGGGCCTTTTGATGGGAACTGAAACCAAAGGAGGCCCGATGCCTTGAGTCAGCTCGGACTCATGACAGCCCCGGAGGCACCGGGCAGAGCCGGTCACTGCCGGGGCCTGCGGGCCCCCGTAGCTGAGCACTGAACCACTTGCATTCCCAGGGACTCCTTACATGGGGAGCAGAGGGTCATCTGTAAGCTATACTTAGCAAGCTTTTCACAGAAGCTCTTCAGAGGCCTCCCAGGTAAGTCGAGTCACACCAGGTTGGCGACTGGTGGAGAGCAGTGTTTGTTTGGCTGTCGGAATTCTAGAGAGAGAAGGTCCTCAGCCGCCACTGCGCACCATCCGGGCCTCACTCAAGGGCAGAGGGTGTCCATGTCCCAACCATCCACAGGGCAGGGATCCCCACAAGGGGCAAAATGGCTGACTGCCTTCACAGAAACTGCTGCCATCAACCGCGGCCAGCAGCCTTCAGCCACCCCCAGGCAACAGGGACTTCATTTTTAAAAGGCAAGCAAGCTCTTAGGCTCCAATTTTAAATAGAAACCTTTATTTACAATGACATCCAAATCGATGGGCAGAGCAGCTCCCCCCCACCCCCCCCTTCCCCATGCTGTCTCCCCAGAGGGCGGTCTAGAGCCTCGGTCGCACAGCAAGGTGGAGACTGCCTGAAAGCAACACGTCATGTAAACTTGGTTGAAACTGAATTCATTCTCAATACTCCAGTCAATTCCTGAGAATTTAAATATTGCTCTCAGAATGACATTCCCATCTTTTCAAAATCTCATCGGGGAGGGGGTTGTGAGAGAGGGGAGGGAAGAAAGCGCCCTGCTTGTGATGAACTAGTTGCCTGAGAGCTGGCAAGCCTCCAGTCCCCTCTGTGGGGTGATCCTCACTGCCCACAGGCTCCACCCCACTGTGGGAACAAAGCTCATGGCTTCTGCACACAGAGGAGACTGGGCAGGCACACAGGTGACTGGGTGTCCATTCTGGTTCGAATCTGAGAAATCCTAGGACAGCAAGCCAATGGTCCCTGCCTAGCCTATCCCACTTACCCCATCCCCCACCTCGCCCCACCTTCCCCTAGACCAGTGGTTCTCAACCTTCCTCATGCCTCAACCCTTTCATACAGTTCGTTGTGACCCCGCAACCAGAAAAATTATTTTTGTTGCTACTCCATAACTCTAATTTTGCTACTGTTGTGAACTGAACAAACCCTGTGAAAGGGTTGTTCGACTCCCCCCAAAGGGGTCGCGACCCACAGGTTGAGAACTGCTGCCCTAAACGGTCAATACTGCCCAACTCCCTAGCACTGGTTACTGATATTTACAGCTGCCAAGCAAATGCTCCATGGAGAAAGGGGGCATCCTAACAGGAACACGGACACTGCAATTTCTATTTGTCTCTACAGGAAGAAACTGGTCTCTCCCTTATAACAGCTTCATCTTTATAAAATATATATGTATTTATATTATCTTTGGATTCAGCAAAAAGTAAGTACTGGAAATATCCCACACGCTAAAAGCAGGTGAAAAGATTAAACTGTTTGCCCCATAGACAGAGACCTAAGTTTAGAGAAACGGGCAGAGGGGGGTAGGCGGGCAAGGAGAGCACGAAGAGAATCACTCAAAGAGGAAGGCGGCTGAAGTAGAAACCGCAACCGCCCACAGGCTGCCTCTGGGCAGCACCCCAAGAAACGGAACAAGGAGGAAATAGAAAAAAGATCAACCCGACTTCGCTTCTGTTCGAAGAAGAAGGGGTGGTGCTGCCTTCCCGCCACAAAACAAGGTGTGGGTTATGCTAGTTTATCAAGTCAAGGAGGGCAAGAGCACCATTATGCCCCCACTACATGTACGCGCACGCACACGCAAGACTGTAAGGAGGTTTGGATGCTCAGGGCTCAGCTGTGTGTCAAGCCCGGGCTCTCCCTTGCGGGGCCTTGGCCATCACCCACCAGGCAGCCTGCATGGGCTGAGACACACAGGCCACTGGGGGTAGGGAGTTGGGGGTGGTGTTTAATCTGAAACTGAACCTCATTTCTGACCGTGAGGAAGGAAGGGGTCATGTCAAAGGGGCACGCCGATGGGAAGAGGAATCCATTCTGGGCGTGGTTCTGAAAACACTGGGTGTCACTATTCACAAGCAAGTCAAATAAAACTCTTAACTTCAGAGACTTCTAGAAATATTGGCTAACCATTTTTTTATATTAAAAAAAAATCAACGGGCTTTCAATTATTGCTAGAAAATGACCCCAAGGCCAGCACACAGGCACTCCCCTGCCATCAGGATGGAGGACGGAGTGGACAGGAGAACTGCTGCTGTGCGGCAGCAGATCTCCACCGGAGCAGCGTCTCCACTTTCTCCCAGGAAGCAGCTTGGTGGGTCTCAACTTCTGACCAGGGCCCCTTCCAAGGCTAACACAGACACCTGAAATCCTTAACTGTTCCAAAACCCAAATTCACGCAACTGCTTGAACCACCGAAGTACCTGGGATGAAGGGAATTAAACGTGGGTCCCTCTCTCCGGACTGGTGCAGGTGCCAGGGAGCGGCAACAGCAGGCAGTAACAGGGACACTGGACTCTGCAGTGTCAGCGATGCCCGATTCGACGCCACGTTGTCAAGTGACAGCTAGGCAGAGGTGGCCACGTGGGACCCACCTACTTCAGCGCAATGCAGAAGCAATGCACTGAACTAGCTACACCACCCTCTGTGAATTGCTTGATGTCCTTCCATTCAGGGACTACCATTTAGAATCCAGGAGATTTTCTTTTTTTATTTTAACTTAGTCAAATTGCCTTTTTATTTTGTTTTGTTTCTAAATTTGATTACCTTTTCTTAAAAAGTTCATCCATTTCTAGTCTCCTCACCCCCACCCCAAAATAACAAAGTGCTTCTAATAGAGGATTTTTTTTTTAACTGCCAACATCTAAACACGTGATCTCTGTAAAAAGCCTTCTGATGAACCAAGAGGGGTGTCTACGGCTGGGAAAGGGACACTGTGGCCGAGGAGAGGCCACCTCACTAGTAACCTCACCACGCTGAGCTGATTGAAATCAACAGTGTTCCATAGCTAGCTTCACAAACTCTGCAAAAATGAGTTGTTGTGACCTCCAAAGAGAGAGATATGTACATACTTTACATAACACAATATCTTAAAGGGCCTATTTACACAGGAAATCTAGTCACAGAAACACTGCGAAATTCTGATTCAGAATGTAGTACCTGGCCTTGGGTCTGCTGAAGTTTTAATTTCAAAAAGCATTATTGCTCTCCCATAGAGGCAAAGGGAGACACCAGTACTTTCGAAACCAATCACCGTTCTTGTTCAACAGATTCGTTTAGCCAAAAAAAAAAAAAATACCAGGGATGGGGGATTCACCATTCCTCAAGACCGAGAATATTGCATTTCTCCATTACTTCCTAAATAAAGTGCGCTCGCCTGCACATTCGCTTGTGGGACCCTTTGCTACTGCTGCAATTAAATACTGTCATCTCCTCTTCCTTCTGCAAAACCACTTGACATCAAGGTCCATTCCTGGAGATGAAGCACGCACTACAGGACACGGGTAAGTAGAGATCCTGGACAGGCAGACGCTGGGGCCACAGACAGGAAGGGCTGAGCGACTCGACACAATGCTGCTGCTTCCAGGACTAAAGGCCTTAGTATCGGGACACTAGAAGGGTGGAGCCTGTGCCCTGCTAATCCCTTGTGGTTTCTCCAGTCTCATCTGGCTGCTGGTGCTGGACTTTGGGTATCAGGCAGAAAGCAGGGGCTCTGAAGGTTTCTTGACGGGGGCTCCAGAGCTGCATCCCTAGGAGACAGAATGCTGAAACTGTCTGTTCTGAACACTGACAGACGGAGGGGGGCGAGAGAAAGGGGGAGTTTCAGATAGATATTGCACTTCAGCTTAAATGTCAGCCCTGCTCACACAACATCCCTTGGAACGCCCTTGATGGTGATGAAAGCTGGTCTTCCAGGGCTGGGGCCTGAACCATGGTTCTCTCCCTCCAGACAGTGCAAGTGCACTGCCACTTGTGCAGTGATGTCCTTGAAGGCTTGGGGCAGAGGTGTCAGCAGTATTTCTGTCAAACCAGAAGAAGCAGGTGTAAGGTCTGTCCCATGCACAATGGGGGTACCCGCCCGTCCACATCAAGCTCGCAGGTGCTGCCACCTCACTAAAAGGATCCTAATGGTCAACAACCTCAGATGAAATCTACCTAACCCCTGTAAACTGGAGAACTTTGAACAAGGAAAGGACTGGGGCTCCCATACCTGATCAGGGCCCATGGGCATGCCGGACATGGGCATGGAGTTCATAGTCATCTGTCCCATGTGACCACCGCTGCCATTCACATGCACCATGCTGTAAGCCCCTGGATTGCCCTGGTGGGTGAACTGCTGCTGGGAAAAGGAGCTAGGAAAAAAGAGGGAGTGAAATTACTTCTGCGCTTAGCCTAGAAATTGACATGCAGCCCATCACGATTGTATCACACATAGCAGGCATCACCTGACCAAGAAAAACCACCCCCACTCCTCCCCCAGCTCGGCCTTCAAGGAGATTCTCATAGTCTGCTCAGTGCCCCACGGGCATGGGCAAAATGGAAGTGTCTCGGTTTGGACCAGCCAATGAACGTGTTCCCGAGCAGGAGCCCAGGCCGGAGACAGCTCCATCCACACGAGCTGTGAGTTCCCCTCACCTGTTTCTGGCCAGGTTTCCTGAGGGCCAGCCCTTTATCTCAGAGGATGGGTACATGGGTGCCACCTGAGGGTGCTGCATCATGGGGTTCTGGGAAGGGCCCATTCTGGACGGGAGCATGGCGTTGGGAGGACTGGACACTCGCCCAAAGGCCGGGTCAGCTTGTTGGCCCATTCCTTAAAAAAAAAAAAAAATTACAACCACACTTTCAAATACAATGTCCTCAGAATATCAGCTTTATTATTTTTGTTTGTTTTGTTTTTTAAAACAAAAAGGTGGAGGTGGGAAACAAGGTAAGAAGTGCTGCTAGATGGGGTCTCTCTTGCTTCTTGTAAAAATGTCATCACAGTGGCAGGCACACTGCAGAATGTGTCCTTGAGGGGCCTTCTGTGCAGAGGGGGCCCCCACATACTCGAACCCATTAGAGGGTAGGGGCCATTGTCCTCACCTGGCTCCCACCCCGGAATCCACCCACATTCCTGGGGCCTCTGAATCCAAATCACCAAGAAAGGGTGCATGCAAAGGCCTCGCCCGGACTTGACCAAGCAGACAGAGGCTGAAGTCCTGCTATGTGGCACACGCCAAAGGAAGAAACAGTTGAATAAACGTCATCCTTCCCAACTGAAAGGCACGGGCCTAGAGGAAGGCTCAACTATGACACAATACCTCCGGTGCCATGCCATGCCCAGTCTAGGTGGTTTTCACCAGAAATATCTTAACACGCACATCTGCCTTGTGCAGCCAAAGAAGTTGTTGGCCATAGCCTGGTTAACAGTGGCATGCAGCCGAGTGCGTGGAGCATGGGCCCATCGTTACTGCGGGAGGTCATGTCCTCAGTGGTACCGTAATTGGGAGGGTAGGGAAACTGCTGCTGCGGTGGAGCTTGTGGCATCACGGCTCCTCCCAAGACCCCGTCCATGCTGGGGGAAGCCGTCACATTAGGCGGGGGGCTGAAGGCCTGGGCCTGCTGCTGCTGCTGCTGCTGGTGCATCATCATGGCCATCCTCTGCTGCTGGAAGTGATGGCTCAGCAGCTCCCGGCTTCGCTGGGCGACCATCTGCGCATTGAGAAAGCCCTGCTGCCACCGAGAAAGAACAGTTACACACTCAGGGCAAGAGCCAGTCTGTTTTACCCATACCATCCCACCATGCACCACGATGTCATACATTCAGCATCCACGATGCACCGGCCAGCTTCATACAGATGGTACCCCACAATGTGCCAGAGGCTGCTTCATACTGAGTACCCACAATGTACCGGGCAGCATCATACAGCACCTCAAGCTGCACCAGGCTGTGTCATACATACAGCACCCACAATGTCCCAGGGCAGGCAACCACACCCACATCCCTTTATAGTACAGTCTTTCTGAGGATTCTGGCCAGAGGGGCGCTAAGAAGGAGGTGTTACAAATTACTTAATAGAACTCAGGCACCAATTACACAAACGCAGAACCTCCTCAACACAGAAACAGTGGAAAGATCTGAGGACAAATGTCTCAGGGATGGTGACGTCAGCCAAACTACAGGAACAAATGGGCAGAAGGGATGCTGCAGGGTGAGTGGCACTGAGGGAAGCATGTGGAGATGGGGTCAGGCACAGAGAAGCTGAGGCAGCGAGCACCAGGAAGCTGGGCAAGGCAGGTGCCTAGCCTGGCTGCACCGATGTCCTCCCAGAAGCCAGCTTCATCAGCTCTGTGAAGGACACCCTGGTTGGGCCCCACCATACCCACCCTCGCTTGTGTGTTCACCTTGGCAGGGGGTACCCTAGTTCACCTCTCAGGAGACCTGACTACCAAAAAAATGTAGACACGTTCAGTACTTCAGAGTAGGTGCCAGTGGTGAACACTGGGCCTTTCACCAGTGCTGGTTTTCCTGGAGGGAGGTTGTCTTGTATGGGGCATGAACAGTAGTCCTCCAAGCTCCGGGGAAGTCGTCTGTATGGCTGTCTGCCGTGTAAGCACCCCTCAAGCTCTGCTGGGCAGCTGAGAGGAGTTCTGTGGGAAGCAGGCCCCTCGGAGGCTCTCACTGCGGGCAGGGTTATACACTCACTTCCATCTTGACACTTCTCCCCATTCCGAGGTTTGACCCAGTGAGCATGGGATTTATAATCCAGGAAGAGAGACCTTTAGAAATTCATGGCTTTAATGTCTTAAAAAGCAAGTTTAGGCTTTTCTCCCCACACAGCGATTGATCGCAGAGACAATGACTTAAAAGCCCCTAATTGTGGGTTTAATGGAGGGGCGGTCACTCTTCCTGTTGCCTCCTGTCATGGCAAGAGAGACAGCAAGAAGGGAGAACGGGGGATGGACTGGGAAATGATTCCTTACACAGGAAGCTGGAATTACTTTACTGCGAGCCAACCGTGTGCTGGGAGTCGGGGGCCCTGACAGGTGCCCCAGAGAGGTCCTCACCTGTGCGTTCATCTGGGGCTGCGTCATGGGCCTCATCACCGCAGGCCCTGTGGGAGCGGGGTGCTCCATCTTCATGTCCAGTGCCTGGCGGCTCTGATTCAGAAACTGAGGGAAGACACAGCAGGTAGAATCTAAGTGGCCGGTGCCAATGAGTCCAGCGCTGCTTTCCAAACTCCCTGCCCCACCTGGTGGTGGCCTGGCCCAAGCTGCAATGACCTGGGGGCCTGCTGGGCCCAGCCTGCTGAGCACCCCCATGGAGCTTTAAGAAAGGGGGAAGTGCAGTGTGGCGTCTCAGGAGTATCAGCAGCAGGAGCGGAGGGACTGATCGAAGCAGTTTTTTGGGGTTACTTAGGCACTGAGGGAAACTGTAAGCTTGGTCCAACTGAGCCCTGATTCAGTTCTCTCTTGGGAGAAACATGGGGCTTTCCACTCCCAGAAAACAAGTTACAGTACAGTGAGAACCAAGCACAATGATCCACTTACAGACACACACACACCAGGGACAGACAACAGAAACATGGGCACAGGGAGACAGCGGACGGTGTAAGATATGAAAATAATAATGACATAATTTATCAGGGGTGCATGGGGTGGGGGGGAAGTGCTGATACCAAGGGCTCAAGCAGAAAGAAAATATTTCAAAAATGATGATGGCAACATAGGTATAAATACGTTTGCTACAATTAATGTATGGATGGTTATATAAGAGCTGTAAGAGCCTCCAATAGTGATTTATTACTTTTTTTTAAAAAGGTTAGTCTTGGAAATTCACAAGGCAGTTCTACCCTGTCCGATGGAATTGCTATGAGTCAGGACAGGCTTGACAGCAGGGTGTTTGTGGGGGAGGGGGGATTGGCTGCCTTTTCCTGGGTCACTCGAAGCGGGTGGGGAGCAATGAAGGGGAGCTGGCACCCATCCACCCTGACCTGGCTTCCTGAGAGCCTGAGATGGTTTTCAGCACACTGATGCCCTGGTGCCCCAGACACTAAACTCTTTCACCCACCTGCTTAGATGGTCCCGTTCCCCACATTTCATAACACCATGCACTCAGACATAAACAATGAAGTCACTGAATTCTGAACCATTTCTTGGGGACAGGGAAAACAGTGAGAGAAACCAGTGTTCACATTTTAGAAACATCTACAAGGGGCTCCATTAAAAAAAGGTGAGATCCAGATTTAAATATCTGGTTATGAACAACAGGACATAGAGAGCGTCTACCTTTAAGACTACTAAGGTACCAGGAAGTTCTCTCTTTGCCCAAGAGCAATCCTGACTTTTACAGACCCTTATAAAAAGGCAATCAATTCTCACAAGTAGCCACATCCCCTCAAACGTAGGCCTGTCTGGATGCAGAAAACAGTGTAGAGAAAGAAAAAAGGTAAGAATCACCTGTGTTAAGGAGGGGTGGAGACTGTGAGTGCCAGGTGGGCAGCTGCCCCTCGAAATCTCCACCAGCTCCAAGGATACAGTCTACAAGAAAGGGGAGCAGGGGAGCCTGGGAATGGCACCCTGGGCCCAAGCAGGAAGGCTGCCCATTACCTGCTGGCCTTGCAGTCGCTGCTGAAGCTGCATCCGAAGCGGCTTAGGGGTACTGGTCCGGGGCCTCATGATGCTGGCCCTCGGGTGCATCCCTTGGAGAGGAAAACTGCCCTGCTGACTCATCTGGTTCATCATAGAGTTAAAGGATGATTGTCCCTGAAGATTAAAGCCACCTTGCATTGGGGGCCCCTGGGCTGGGTACGTCTGCCCATATAATGCTGCCTTTTGTTCCATCATGACGGCTGCTTCTTGGCCTTGAAAAGGTTCCTGTTTGGGTTCCAGCGCTTGTCCCTGAAACGTGAAACACATATAATGACCAGAGAAGCACATCTGGAAACGCTACAGGCAACCTGTGCCTTAGAGGCGGGAAGAGAAGTCCGACGTACACACGATGCTGCTGCATCCATGTACCACCTGCAGCCCCCTGAGCACCCGCCAGCCCCACCTGCCCCCAGCTGTGCCCCAGAGCCTCCTCCAGGTCTCGGACACACGGACGTCCAACTGCAGCTGGAGTCCAACACCGACAAGGCAGGAAGCCTGAGGCTCCGTGTGTCCCAGACCAAAGTCTATACCGACTTGGACCTTCCAGACAGATTAGAAAAGGAAAACCCAATGATCACTCCTGAGGCTAATAAATCCTCAGGCGTTATGTACAAGAATGTGTGCTCCCTAACACAAGTGAACGTGAGCTCGTCTGGGGTCTCACTGCAGGTAGTATTAGTAAGTTCACGTGGGAGTGGGTGTGGGCGCTCCTCAATCCCTCTGATTGGCCATTGGACAGCAGGACACACACTGTGGAAGGCAGATGCCATATGAGGGAAGCAGCAATGGGCTGCCAAGGGCTGCTGGCAGCCAAAAGCAAGTGGGAGAGAAGCAGGGAACGCATCTAAGGGTTCAGAAGGGAGCAGTGTGGCTGCTGCCCTCAGTGGTGGCCCCAGGACCACGAGACAGCGATGACCACATGACAACACTGTTGCTATGGTACTGGGAAACTGAGGGTGGCCAGCAGATGATGGAAAAAGAAGAGACTGAGCCTTCTGGAAGGGGAGGAGGGGCCTGCCAGGCTCAGACCCGAGCAGTACAGTATTCCCCGACCTTCTCCACCCTGGGGACAGACAGCAAGCTTGCCGAATATCCTCACCAGCTCTCCCCCTATAGCACACCTCACCCAACTGTGTTCTGTGACATCACCTCACTGCTCTGGCCTGGCACCCCCACCCCCATAAGTCCCAGGCAACCTTCTCTCACTACTCTCTGCTTTGGTCCCAATCACAAAACAAATGCTACATTTTCATCTCCAGTCCCAATGTCTGGACACCCGAATGCTGCTTACACACATGCACACTTACATCTTCACTGGATGCCTCGGGCATCTCAAACTGAACACGGGGAAAGCACAAGGTTGGTTTGTTGCGTTTTTGTTTTGTTTTTTAACAGCAGAATGAATAAGACCCACACCAAAATACGGTTTCATTAAAGTTCTAAGGAGAAAAGTTCCGTAAGAAATAATAAATGGGTCACAAGCACAGGAAGCAGAAGGGAATAAGACTCAGGTTCAGCACTGCCAGTGCCACACCCTCATGCACACCTGGGCCAAGAACTATGGGACAGCCTCCAAAATTCTCGGGAGGAACTTCATTTGAGGCCCTCCCTGCAGGAGGAGAAAAAGCGTTATCTGCTGACACACAAGGACCTCAAGCATTCCATCTCGTGCTACAAGGGCCTGGGAAGCTAATGAGGTTGTGTTTTAACACAACAAAGAGGCAAATTAAGATAGAAAATGACTTGCAACTCAGAAAACCAGATTTAACACTAACAATTATACATGTCCAGTCATGTGGGCAGAAAACGGAACCTGTCAGCGGGAGGAAAGGGCTTAATGGGTCATGTGATGTATCTCAGCATGGGGAGCAGAGGGGGCAAAGGTGTATGGTTCTGTTGATACATCTGGGGAGAAGCAGCAATGGGTGCATGTGTCCATGCATGCACGCGCTTCTCTCTCTCTCTCTCTCTGTCTCTCTCAGCAAATGCAAGTTCTACCGGAGGGCTCACAAAATGAGTGGTATATATGCACCATTCCACTTTGCTAAAATCCAAAACTTTCCAAATTTCTGAACACATCTGACTCCAAGGGTCTCAAATCAATGACTACATACCCACAGACAACTGTGATATCCAGAAGTTAATACATATAATTGACGTTGATAAAGAAATGACACCATATTCACAGGTCTTAGAAATAAAATATTCCCCAAGATAAGCAGTAAAAAGTTGAATTTCACTACCACTGAACAAGGGACAAGCGACTGTGCTTTTTCAATAAAAGTATTTCCATGTCACTTGACTTTGTTGACGTGAAATAGAAGGATCACTTTGCTAAACAAAAATAACTTTTGTAATACTGCTGCTCTGCTTCAAACCCTTCATCGGCTCCCCAGTATCTCAAGATGCCTCGGTGGCACCCCGCCTCCCTTGACCTCTCCCTTTTCCTCTCATTCCAGGCCCTTTGCTCACACAAACGTCCAGGTGCTTTCTAGCCTTCCCTGCCTCCAGGACTTGTAACTCTTTCTGGTATGTTCTTCCCCAAGGCCACGGCATAGCTGGACCCTTTGGGTCTTGGCTTACATGCCATTTCCCCCCAAAAGCTTCCCGACCTCTAACACTCCATTACTCTGTACCTTGTCGTCCTGGATTTGAAAATCTGAGCATCTGAAATTCCAAACAAGGCCCCACTAAAAGGAAAAGTACTTGCAACGTGTTAGACAACACACATCCTTCAAATGGCTGCTCAGACATCACTCGGTTAGAGAACACCCTCCTCCCAGGTCCCTGGCCAAAGCCTTGTCAGACCACAGGCCTTTCCTTATAACCTCCAGGGCACCCCATCTCCTGCCTGAGGGGGTCTCCTTCTGGGGTCTGCCTGCCCGGTGGGAGGAGAGCTTAGGGGGCTGGATGGAATTCATTTGCTCATCCTTGGTCCTCTGCCTCTAACAGGCTGACTGGCATGCAGAAGGTACATAAATATTTGCTGAAGGAAAGACTTAACCAGGAAACCAGTGACGGAACACACATAAACTAGTCATGCAGATAGACAAAATAAAACTCCATCAGAAAGCTCCACAAGACCTAAGTGGCCAATAAATAGAAAGATGCCCACTCATGCAGATCAAAGAAATACAATTTAAAACACGGTTTGCTTTATTGGGAGAGTGGGTGTGTGTGGGTCTGTGTGCAGTGGGTCTATCAGATTGGCAGGGATGTAAAAACTTAAGTCACACTCAGTATCTGTTTATTACTTGCACGCTCTTTCTTGCCTCTATTTGTACCTTCGTGTGTGTTCTTTGCACATGTGGTGTAGTAGGTAGGTTAGCACTCAGCTGCTAACCACAAGGTCAGCAGCGTAAACCTACCAGTCGCTGCATGGGAGAGACGATGCCGTCAGCTTCCATAGCAATGGCGGCCTTAGAGAAGCCCTAAGGGGCCGTTAGTTCCACTTTGTCCTATTAGGTTGCAGGAGTCAGACTTGGCTAGGAAGCAACAGGCCAGTGGGTCACTTCTTTCACCTGAGTCACACCAGCAGGTGCTGGGAAAAGGTGTGAGGACCTACCGCTCATACCCTGTTGGTAGGAAAGTCGCTAGTATAACGCTTCAGAACAGTAAGAAAGCATGTAACAAAGCCTTTAAAACACACACTACATCCTCTCTTGCATTAGAAGTACAGACACAGATTGAGCAAAACACATAAGCGTGTTCATGAGAGCCACACACAGGAATGGTTTAGACTATAATGTGTAGTAATAGGGTCCTGTGTCATCAAATTGAATTTGACAGAGTTGTACAGAAAAGCAGGCTGCAGCGGCTGCTGGGTTCAAAATGCCAACCCTGGGGTTTGCAGTCAAGCACTTATCCATGCGCCACCGGGGCTCTTTATATCAGCAGAGGATCGGTTAAGTTATGTGTCCAGCAGATGATATCAGACCAGTAAAACAACCATGAACAGATGGTGAAAAACAGTAACCTTCATAACGCAAAACTAATGACAAAGGACGTTAAAGTCTGCACATCTGTGCGTTCGTGCCTGTTGAAAGTCTAGTGGTCACTCCAAAAAGTGACCAAGCGTGACCGCTGTACAGGGATCACGGCAGGCCTAGGCTCAATTTTACTCGTCACTGTCACATAAAGAACACTAAATGGTTTATCACCGGGACAAAAAAGCTAATTCCAGCTTAAATGAAAATGGTTTGGGTTTGGAGGCAGGGGAGGTGGTGGTTTGGGTTTAATGGTCTCGGTGTGACCTTCAGTATGTGCACCTGAGCCTGAGTTGGGCAACCCTTCCTCATCCCAGTACCATGCGTACTCCTGGAGCCAGACAGAGGGCCGTGCTGCTTCCCAGACCCACTCTTCAACCTGTGGAAACTGTAGACCTGGCCTCATCCCACCAGCCCCAGCGAGCCCTTGGCCCATATGTGTCCCACTAGTTATATGGAAATCAACGCTACCTCATTAGAAATATTTTCCCCCTTCATTTCATTCAAAATATTTTCCATAAATGAAAACAGTGTTACCTCCATTGTTGAACTCAATTCATTCCAAACTCATGTTCAAACATCAAAAAGTTTACGAACTGAACATTTTTTCCATCACAAATATTGGAAAACCAAGTAATTGTTGTTCTGAGGTACCAAAAATTACGCTTATAATTTTTCTAGGTCTTTAGGTCACTGTGGAGGCGGCAAGCCTTCTCACATAGTCCTGGTGTCAGCATAGTTGTTTCTGATTTAGTCAAGGTAACAGTAACTTTTCAACCTCTTGGATGGCTTATTTCCTGGTTAACGACTTCACACCTTTCTGCACACTACATTAGTCGCTGTAACCACATCCCTCCCCCCAACCAAAAATGTTGATAAAGGCCGATTTAGCCGTGTTGTCTTCACCCGTCAAATCAGACAACTGGCGACCTGATTCTAACTTCACAATTTCTTTCTGTCTTTAACTCCATCATGGTTCTCGCAGTTTTCCTCGTAACTTAACTGCTGGGAACATGAACTTTATTTGGAGGCATGGTGATGCATTTTGAATAAATAAAGTGGGGGGGGGGCACACTTTCAACCCACTAATGTTGTCTAAGAACTATAACACTGTCTGAGCGAGAGTCACCGTGTGTCCCAGGTGAGACACACCTCACGCTCACTCTCTGCCGGCAGGTTCATTCCAGTTGGACTTGCGGTTTGACTGCTGAGTGACGTTGGGATAGAGTCGATCCTCCTCCCACCCCAAACTGTGCTGTTCCTGCAGTGGAAAGTTCAAGCTTAGAGCTTTGCAACAACGGAGCAGGAAATAACTGGGCTCTGACAGGCTGTCAAGGTCCGTGCCTGTACTTCCCACCTGTAGCATAAGCAGGTCCGTGTTTGGGACTCCATCAAAGACCGAGTCTCCCGGTGCACGCCAGCCTCTCTGAACGCAGAGCGGCGACGCTCCACACACAGGGCCGCACTGGTTGGGCGTATGGTGGAGAACAAAGACACTGGGGTGGAGTATGCACAGATCGACCACTGGGAAGGGAAGGGGCTTCAACTCCCAGACAAGTCAGCTCGTCTCCTGCAGCATTCAGTGGCTGGTGAGACAGCAGAGGAGAACTACAGAACTACGTGAAAAAACTTCTCATTTCACTAGATCGTTTCTAAAATTTGACATCTTACTAAAGCAGTAAGTTGTTGGGCGTGGTACCACAACCCTAGAGTATATTACTGCATTTTTATGCAGGTATCGGAATGTCACGTGGCAAACAGTCATCTTAAAAAGAGATGCACACAACAGCGACTTCAGGAAGCTCATGGAAAACTGAAATCAAAAGAAAACGGAATTTTCCAACAAACCATTTGTAGCCTCCTCACATCTAGGCCTTCTTAAGCCTGGCCTCATACACGTGTGTGCTCCTTTTCTTAACCCACCCCCTCTACAATTACGCCACCTACTTGGTTTACAAGCTCAGGGATGCCCAGTGCTCTGTCAATTTCTTCCAGGCCTGTGGCATCTGTATTGCTCAAGAGGGTGTGCAGCTGGTCCAGCAAGGCTCTCTCATCACTCTGGCCTTCGAGGTTGGAAGGTGGCCCAAGGAGATCATCCAGGGAACTCCTCAGAAGGGGCCTAAAAAGAGGCGTCAGTCAATTCCAATGATGTGCACTCTCCTTATGCCGCACGCGCGCGCGCGCGCACACACACACAGCAACCTTATGGAATATGTTTAATGTATACAAACACTCAAATAGCCCAAACGTCACTAAAAAATAAGTAGAAGAGTATATAAAGTAAAAACAACAAGGATTTAACACACACGAGGAGCACAGGCCAGGAAGTGCTGTGAGCATGGTTTGTTGTATTGTGCACACAGGAGCTAGGGGTGCGAGCCCACTTGTTGCCACTTGACCACAGCATGGCTCAACAACTCTACAACTTCACCAAGCCATCTTCGACCACAATATCTAGGTGCCAATTCCACCACCAAAAAGTAGTCTCCAGACCCTAGCTATGTACGAAACTATGTAAGAAACACCAGAGATTTGGGAGGAGGTGCTATTTTCACACCTGAAGAATAGAGGTGGTGTAACAGTCATCTTGTCTAAAGAGCTAAGGAAACCAACAAAAGAACAGGAAGGTCAGGGAATCTGCCCGAAGCCTGGGGCTGTTGCAGCAGGTGCACAGAGCGCATGCATCCCGGAAGTACAGTGCTCACTATATCCATGTGTGATGCCACACGGCCACTGTTGCCCCCACACACAGAGAGAGGGGCAGAAACACACCCTGCCTCACTCACAACAGCACTGCAAAATGGAAACAACTGGTGCTCTTACTGGGTAGAAAAACACTCGCCTGAATAAATTCACTATCTACTCAATAGATTTGGTTTGGTTTGGCTTTTTTTTCTTTGCTTACTGAAGAATTTGGCTTTGATTATAATCCAATGTGACAATAAGAAGTGGCTTCTGTCATGCACACAAGCTACCTAACCAAGCTAAGTAAAATCCAAATACAGACTTGGCCCACAATCCCTGGCAAGTTTAAATTAACTTTGGAAAGAAGTTAACCAATCTTAAAACATGAATTTTCCAGAAAGCTGAGGCTTTTGCTCTGAACATCACTTATAAAGGATAGGAACGTGTTCTTGCAGTCTAAAACAGGTGCTCATTTGTCCCCCAGCCTATGGGATCCTCCTCCTGGGAGTCGATTGTCTCAGAGAGGTAGGTCATTAGGAGCTGGACTACAGAGTGAGCCTGTAGCTAAGTAATACAGTGGGGTTTCAAAACATTTGTGGGAAATGGACTAGAAAGATGATGGAGTTTCTTGAACTTTCTGCAGTGTCCCCCTTATCCTCCCTCTCTCGCGAATGCTGCTGCTTGCTGCCTCCACCTCGCTGGTTCATCCACCGTCTCCACGAAATGCCATGTGTGCCTGTGCTCTGGCCTTCTGCTCAACAAGCTGAAGCCAGTGTTTTCCAAAGTCACAAAATAAAGCCCCACCTATTTTGAGTTCCATGAGGGCCTTGTTCCATGGACAGCATGCCCTCTGGCCAGGAGCCTGGTTGGCTAGGTGGTGCTGATTGGCTGTAAGGATTGACTGTCATTCCCATGGGAATCTCACCACGCCCTAGGGAAGCACACAGAAAGTATACATTTTCAAATAATTACCCTAAAACATGTTTTTTCTTTGTTTTTAAAGAAATAAAGAGGGGGAAGCTTACTCATTTGATGCATTTGCTGTTGCTGCTGCTGCTGCTGCTGCTGCTGCTGCTGCAACATTGGCCTCGTGCCTGGTATGCTATTGGACCGCATGGGCAGGGCGGGCAAGGAGCTGGCCATCGAAGGCCTGGGTAGAGCAGCGCTATAATCTGCCCCTGGTCGTCCCATGGGATTGGGATTCATAGGCTCCATTCTGCTAGCCTTTGAGTTTGGCAGGCCCCAGTCACCTGAGGAAGGAGGAGTCTGATTCACAGTCACATTTCGGTTTGGTCCACCTAAATAGAACATGTAAAAGTGATGAGATCTATCCATAGCACAGTGGATTCCTCCACATAACATGTAGATACAGCCTGGACCAAAAAAAGAGCTCAGTCCTTCAAAGCATAGGGGCTGTCCCACTATGAAAATGTTGTTTCTGATGGTCACAAGACTATGTAGTCACAAAAGGCTGAAGGTCTTAATAACTCAGACTTGGACCAAATGAAGCATACTCATAAAAGCACATCATGGTAATGTAATTAAAAAACAACAACCATGAATCCCATTTGTTTTTGTTTTTCCTTTTTCATTAAGCATTTTAAGATGTGCTTTTCTAAAACAACAACAACAAAAACATTTCATCCTATGAATTAAAAGCTAGCATACCCATATTGCAGCCATAACTGTCCTGAGCCTCCATCATTCTCGGGTTCCCACCTAACACAGGCTGCTTTGGTACCATGGGAAAAGTACTGATGCTCTTGCCCGGGGGGCTGGAGCCCACGGACACGGGGCTATCCAGTGACACTGCGCGGTTATATGGGGGCCGGATCGCCTGTACAGACTGCGGACTTCTCAGACCTGCTGGAAACACACAAGCACAAGTCCATATCCCCATGAGTTAATACACAGAAACTCAAGCCTAAGACCACCACCACCCACCAAAAATGCCTTCCCTACAGAAACAAACACTGTCTTCCTTTACAAAATAAACACTAAGCGCAAAAGATCAATTAAAAGCCTCGGATTCCAGATAGAGTAGAGCACCTCCATGCTAGCTGGGGCCCCGGGCCCAGGCCCGGACCCCGTCCAGACCTGATATGGTATGGTCACTCATATTCAGCTCCATTACTGTACTTGATAGTCAAAAGTCCACCAACATTTTAAAATCTTGCAACTTTTTCACAAACAAGGAATCAGAGAACATCTGCTCTCACCCCCCACCCAGCCCCACTCTATTTGATTGCTTTGACTGAACATTTAATTTCATTTAGGAAATATTGCTACTGCAAACCAGCAGCGGTCATATTCTGGGTAACTGTGAATTATTCTCTCAATTGATCACACACCCCAGATCCATTTTAAAATGTAAGGGAATAGGGGAGCGGCTTAGTGAGGCCCAACGAGCACCAAAGAGGAAAGCTTGGTCAATGGGCAAGACGCCATGGGAGTCAGAGGGCAGGTTTTGATCTTTACATTTGGGTTGTTTTGGTCTCCCGTCCTCCAACACTCTGTGACTAATGAAGAGGTACATTTTCCTGTAATTGCCGTGATGACTGATATCATGCCCATACGACATGAAAAGAACAGGACAATGTCTCTAAAACGATGTACGTTATACAGCAGATCGGAAACAGATAGTGCATGTGTTTTAAGTTGTATGTGATAATCAGATCCTGGTTCTTAGTGTAGGGGTGTGTGCAGGTGCACAGAAACACTGAGAAGCCAACAAAAATAAAAGCAACTTCTTTCCTTACCCAGAGAGTTCGTTCCTTGAAACATCTGTGGCTTAGCTCCCACCAGATTACTACCATTTGTGGGTATGGAATTATTATAAAAGTCTGACCCAGTCAGATCGCCAAGAATAGCATCTAGATTATCCAAATCTCCGGATGCCTGGAAATAAATTTTGACAAATTAATCCATGTATGCTCATAGATACATAGGTCCAAACTTATCTGTCTAAAGAAATACCTGCAATGGAAACAAGTGGAATGCAGTATTTGCCTAAAATGATAGCACCGAAGTAAAACGCCTGCATTTATATATGGCCCCTCTCCCTGGTCTTCCTTCTCAGAGAAAGAACAACTTTAACTACTGAGATAAATCACACATTTTTTTTATTGCCACTAGCCATTACCCCAGCTCCCCAGCTAACACTAATCACCAGCCCTCGAGCGCTCATGGCTGACACAGATATCCGCATCTGCCAGTGCCTTCTGGACACGAGCCCTCAGTAATAATAAAGCGACGTGTGTGTGCTCCGAAGGGTATTCGTGGGTGTGCACCAGAAAGGCTCTGAGTCACCACGCTGGAAAGCAAGAGGGTAAAGACAGTAAGAGGGGCATCTGCCTAGCTCTCAAGCTCCTCCACAACTGTCACTGGCTCAGGAGCAGCTGAACAATAGCTGGAATAGCACCCCTCAAGCACAGTTTGGGGAATGTATAGATAAAATGTGATCATGTACGAGAAACTTGATTTTCAGGTAAAACTCAAGATTTTTGCTGCATGCGACAAAAACTGCCTTCCATTGGACTTCTACCACACCCCGAGTCAACCAATCTGCTCAGCCCACTTGCTACTGAACAGAGCCATGTCTTAAAACATATGCACCTGCTATTTCTCACTTGCATCACACCAAAAAGTACTGGTGTCCAAAACAAATACAAAGAGAGTAGCACTCAAAACGCACATCCTTTAGATAAATCTGGGAGATCAAACGAGCGTGTGCATAGCTCCGAATCTTTCTAACCCCAGCACACACTGACAAAGGCTGACGGCTAAGGTGGGGCCAACAAAAAGTTACCTCTTCGTGCGCCTGTTCCGCCTTAATTTTAGAGTCTTTCTCTTGACTCGAGCTAGGGATGGCAGAGCTGCCACACTGGCTCGTTTTACCCTCGATGCCTTCCATTTTGGGCTGCAGCTCTTTAGAGAGGGCGTCGCTGGGGTCATCCCTGTCCAGCAGGTAGCGAAGAAGTGCGTTGCTTTCCTTCTTCTTGGGGCTCAGCTGTTCCTGCTTGATGGCCGCCTCCCCACAGGAAGGCGCACTGCTGCCGTCTCTCCCCGTGGCCTCGGCTGTGATCTTGGCCACTTCGGCAGGTGAGTTGCCATTCTGCAACAACTTGTGCAGGATCCGGTGTTTCTTCTGCAGCAGCGACCCGTGCATGTTGGACGTGGAAGACACGCCTCCAGAAGTAGAAGAAGAGACGCCAGATGGGCTGGTGACACTAAGGGATGAGTCTTTACCACTTGAATCTAGGGGAGAGTTGGTCGAGGAGGAATGGCCCCGGTCATCTGAAGAAAAGGTAAGCAACTGCAGCAGTTTCTTGTGCCCTTTGTTCTCCAGAGGGGCCCTCTGAGTCTCGGGGCCGTCCGTGCTGCTCTCTCTACTTTCTTTGTCGCTGAGGAGGTCCCTATTGGACTGGCACAGGGAACTCTCCACCGGGTTCTGGTCACAATATAAGCTGAGGGGGCTCTTGGAATCCTGGCTGTTCACTTTACTGGGCTGGGGCAGGGTCATATTGGGAGAGTTATCCAACTTGGGACCTGGTGAAGAGAGTGTAGACAGGAGCGAGGTGCCCACGCCCTCGCTGATTGCCTGCAGTGCGCTGAGGGAGCTGCTGGAAAAGCTGTGGCCCCCAGTATTTCCAGAAGATCCCAAGGGGGAGTGCACACCTGGATGTGGAGAAAAGCCAGGCAAACGAATCAGACCTCCATACGCTGCACCAAACCCTCACTTTGTTCCTAAGGTCTCTATGATGCCATGATCTCACTTGACAAGAACGACAATGATGGAGAGAGGAAAGAAGCACAAGCTACTGACAACGAAAAAGGCAATGCCAGCACAGATACCTGCGATGGGAGAGAACTGGTGTGAGGCCATCTTTGGACTCCCACGATTCCGAGGTGAAATCATGACATTCTGCTGGGTGGTGGAGCCGAGGCCAGGACTCCCGTGGGGGGGGCTGCTCATGTTGAGACCATAGTTGCTGCTCTGGTAGGAAGAAGGTGACTGCATGCCTGGCCCAGGGTTCATGGAAGCCATGTTACTAGGGCCCCCATATCTAGCTCCACTCATCTGCCCTGTGGCACTGGCATCTGCCAAGCCATAAGTCCTGCTGCCCAGCATCGGTAAGCCTTGGTTTGGGGACATGCTCATGCCGCCTACCGAACCAGGGCATCCAGCCATAGGCGGTCTAATGCTTTGTCCGTGAGGATTTGGGTTTGGTCTATACCCATTCTGTTCTCTGCAAGAAACATAGAACAGAACAGCACGTTTTTATCAATACCAGCATGTGTCACAGCTCGGAAGCAGGAAAACAAAGCATACAAGTGCACAGGAATTTCATCGCCCCCCCCCCCAACTATTTCCAATCTAGACATTAACCTACTACCAACCTCCAAACCAAAAACGCATTGCCATTGAGTCAACCCTAACTCACGGTGACCCTACAGAACAGGATAGAACTGTCCGTGGGTTTCCAAGACTTTAACTCTTTATGAGAGTACAAAGCCTGTTATCTTTCACCCAAGGGGCTGCTAATAGTTTCACACTACTGACCTTGTAGTTAGCAGCCAGATGCATAACCACTATGCCCCCGGGCTTCTGGTCACATATTTTTCACAAGCGACAGCACTGAGTGGGGCCAACAGCAGCTCTGTTATGTGGATCCCACAATGTTAGCGACCCCATATCACGAAACCAGAACTACGTACGGAGCTTCCTTGGCTGTCATGTTTATGGAAGTGGTTAGTCAGAGGCCTTTCTCCTGCAGAGCTGTCAGGTAGCTGTGAACCACCAGTCTCTCAGATGGCAGCCATGCTGAACCATCATACTACCTAAGGTCCTAACAGTGCTTAGGTAGAGATGGCATCTACCCAAGACTGGCCTCCAGAGGTGCCTTCAAATGACTCTGGAAGATGCACGGTAACTGCATGTCTTTGGTGTTGCGTGTGTATCATTAGCAACACCAAGAGGAACTACTGTTGACTATTAAAGGCAAGAATTCGATATTATATTCAGTCCTGAAAAGTGAGCGCAGACATTGTGGGAAATAAAAGGTAATAGAGGTGGTCAGTCTCTCTATGTCCTTTCACACACACACCACCACCACCACCCTTTCGAAAAAGTAGTTATTTAACGAATACTCATTTTCACAAAGTGTAACTTCAAAAACACACCATAACCCCAGAAGTCTACACCCACTTCAGCGAATCCAAGGATCCCCAAGCTGCTTCTCTTGTTCTAGCACCTCTAGCACATTCATAATAAAACGTCTCGAGCACATTGTGCTTAATGTGAGGACATCCAAGAGTCCATCGTTACCTCTGAAGAAAGTGGGTGGAGACAAAGCCATGGCGGTCATTTGTCACTGGATTCCGGAAGAGCTTGCTTTTGGTCTGTGCAGTCACTACCGTCCCATCAGCCAGAGAGAACCGATACAGCGGGGTCTCCGCGTGGCCATGGATGTACGCTGTCGGGAGAAAACCACCTCAGCACCAGCAGCAGCAATCAGCACAATAAACACTAGCAGGAGAGAAGGCGAGCTCTCAGCCTGAAGATTGTCAAAGCCTAGTGTAGCTAACGCTGGAGCAGCGTCATAATTAAAGAGAAGTCAAAACATTAACCTCAAGAATCACCTTTCTAACCCTCCTCTCCCCCACAACAACTACCACCATGTATGTAGCTGGAGTTTTAGCATCTCCGACAAATGGCACACAAAGAACAAGAGCTGATTCCAAAATGTATCACCTTCTTGATAGTGCCGCTTCTGGGACCAGGACTGCCCGTCGTTCAGGCTGAAAAACCTCTGGATACACCTCCGGATTGTATCTTCAAAGCCAGGCCTCATGGAGGCTCTAAGAGAATTCGTATCTATGTTGACAACTTTTCCTATTGACCAGAAAAGAAAAGTACATCAAGCCCTGAAGTGCTTGCAGGTTGTCCATGCTGTAGCTCAGCACTGCAGAACACAGTTTGCAAGAAGCACATTCATAGTTCTACCCAAATTTCTGGCACACCCAAGTTTTCTTTAAGATCACCATCCTGCAAGATACTCTTGCATCTAAATGTTCTGCTGAATTGAATACAAAAGTGCTACACATAAGTCCTTTTCCATCAGGACCATGGAGAGCAGAGGTTCCCACGTATTTGGGCTATTGCAGAGAGAGAGAGAGAGAGAGGGAGACTGACTGACTGTGACTGACAGACACACAGACTGGCTTGCTCCACTCCATCCTGGCAATTAAAAACTTTTGTACTACAGTCCACGATTCAGGATAGTGTTAAGCTTGTGCAGCCCCTGGGTCATTCCAGTGCCTCCCACCCCCACCAGGGGGCAATATCGTCTACTTTGGGAAACACTGGTGCAGGATCAAAGATGTCCAAATAAACTAAGGCTTCCGTTTCATTTTTTAAAAAGCAACACTTTCCAGTAAAACCATTAGTGTGACGACATTCTGTCCCTACAGCATGAAGCAACAGTAAGCAGGAATCATTCTTTCCATCGGAGATGACTGCATTTTTCTACACTGGGAGGGATATTCAAATATTCAAGTATCTGTCAACTGTTCCTCGGCACCAAATCAACTGGAGAGGGCAGCTGTACAGTCAAATGCGCTATGAAACGGAAGGTCGTTTTATGAAGATGGCCCTTTGAAAAGGGCTAGGCCTTTTCACTCTGAGCGGGACCTGGCAGCTCACAAGAATTAAGTTACAAAAAGCGGCAGAGAGAGCAAGTGTGTGATCCGTCTCCTGAGCAGAAGAGCAGATGAAAGGCCCAGGTCCACTCGATGGAAGCAGCACTGGAGAACACAGGAATCGAACTGCAAGGGCTCCGGGACCCAGACTTGCATCGGAGGGTCTCAGGAGTTGTGTTTCTCAGGAGAGCCTTACTAATCTGCAGAGTGATGCAGAGTGCATTAAGAAAATTACCGGGAATATTCTGGACATAAACTGCCTAGCCAACCTCCTAGGTGCCATGAACTCAGTGCTGATTCAGAGCAACCCTGTGTGTAACAGGACGAAATACTGCCCAGTTCAGGCCACCCTCCTGATTGTTCTTATGTGGGAGCCCATGGTGGGTGCCACTGTCCATCTATCTTGTTGAGGGCCCTTCCTCTTTGTCACTGCCCCTCTACTTTACCAAGCATGATGTCCTTTTCCAGGTACCAGTCCCTCCTGATAGCATGTCTAAAGTATGCGAGACAAAGTCTCACCATCCTTGTCCCTAAAGAGCATCCTTGGCTGTACTTCTTCCAAGACCGATTGGTTTGTTCTTTTGGCAGTCCGTGGTACCTCCGTTATTCTTCACCAGCACTATAATGTAAACGCATTGGTTCTTCTTCCTTATCCAGTGTCTAACTTTCTCACGTATATGAAGCAACTGAAAATGCCCTGGCTTGAGTCAGACACGGCTTAGTCCTCAAAGTAACCTCCTTGCTTTACAACACTTTAATGAGGTCTTGTGCAGGTTTACCCAATACAGTGTCAGCAGTAACAGGTCTACCAAATCCATTAGATCGCGAGGATCATAAGCCTAAGCAAGCAGGAAGGTAACTAAAAAGAAGTGGTCAATAAATGTATTCCAGTTGGAAAGAGCACGGTCTTGTATTTGAATTATGGTGCTGTAGAAGAACCTTGAAGAAAGTACCATAGACAGCCAAAAGAACAAAATACAGCCAGAATGGTCCTTGGAAAAAAGGTTGACAAGACTTTATCTCATGTACTTTGAACACGGTGTCAGGAGAACCCAGGCCCTGGAAAGGGCATCATGCCTGGTAAGGGAACGGGGCAGTGGAAAAGGAAGGCCTTCGACAAGATGGAGTGACAAGTCAGTGCTGCACCGATGAGTTCACACGAGAACAGCTGTGAGGGTGGCACAGGACTGGGCACTGTTTTGTTCAGTTGGACTCAGGGTTGCTATAGGTCGGAACCAACTAGATGGCAGCTGATAATAGTCTGTTTGCCCACTCGATGGATGTTCCTTAGAAAAGTGCAATGCTAAAGACCTCCCAGGACAAGTGGAGAAAACACACGGGGTTTCACAGTGAAGGCAGTGCTGAAACGCTACGGAGGGTGGAACAGACACTGCAGTGGAATGACTTAATGATAGGAGCAACCCATCTAAGAACCTGCTTACAATTTCGTTTTAATAACATCTGATTTGGTTTTCTGGGTTTGTTTATTCGTAAAGGCTAAGAAGAAGGACAAACGGGCCCCAGAAAAGAGGAAACACACTCGAGTGTGCCAGAAGGACAATCCCTACTCAATCACCTCCCCTGAGGTATGTCACACACAAAAAACAGCTGTCCGGAAAAGCATCTTGAATGAAGGAGTAGGCAAATGTATCAAAGGCAGACTATAAAAGCCCTCTCCAGAGGCTAAGACAAATGTTGAACTGAATGTAGCAAACCTCCTGCAGGGCAGCTGTGAGCAAGCAACTGAAGACAGCAATCCTCTCCCCCTATAGCACCAACGCCGTCACAAGCCACCAGAGGCTGCCAACTACAACTACGGCAAGATGGCTCTCAGAGCCAATGCCTGCTCTCAAGGGATAGTAATGAAAATGTCCTGTCACCATGTTTAATTTTCTCAAGGTGACTAAATAACAAGAAACGTTTCCAATACAGATAGTATCCAACTGTGTGAACAAATTGACAATAACAAAAAAATCCGTACTTCTCCCACAGCAGTGCAAACGAATCTCAAGCAGCCTCAAAGTGAGTAACTGAAGCTGCAATGAAAGGGTCGAGAGCCTGTGAACATGGCTGTTCTTTACAATCAATGACCCTGGTCGCTATGCTTTGTGTTTACACCTACTCCATGTTACCCAACCACTCACTGAGTGTCCACAAGGACACGGTCAGGCAAACTATTACATTCAAGCAGAGAGTACATACAGGCTGTGAGGCCAGCCTCGATTATGAGGTGCAAACTCATTTGTCAGCCATGATCCTAAGAAAAATCCCCCAACCCCTCTTTCATCTGGCCTCGGATCTCCGTCTGTGAGGTGGTGCATACATGACAAACCATTTGCATCAGCATGCAGGGTTTCAAGTGACAGTACAGATAATAGTGCCATGGCAGTGAATTTCATCAATGTGCCTTATTAATTGCCCACTGTCCAGAACCATGTGACACTAAGCTGCAAACAACAAGGTCAACGGTTCAAACCCAATCAGTCACTATGTAGAAGAAATCTGAGGCTTTCTGGTAAGGAATTTAAGTCTCAGAAACCCATCAGGCAGCTTTTCTCCGTCACAGTGAGGATTTGTTTTGCTTTGTATCTTTTTTTTTTAGCAGTTTTATTGACACTTCATCCACATATCATACAATTGAATAGTTCAATCATATCAAGAGTTATATAATCATTACCATAATCAATTTTAAAGCATTTTCTTCTCCCTTGTACTCATTGTCAGTGTAGTGTTTTTTTTAATTGTGCCAAAAATTTACCAACAAAGCATTGTCCAGCGGAACAACTTCTACATGTGTAAATCAGTGCCACTGACTATATCTTCATGCTGTACAGCCATTATTGATACTCTTTTCCAAATTACTCCACCACAGTTAACATGAACTCAATGCTCCCTAAGCAAAAACTCCTCTTCCTTCACCCATGGTAACCACTGGTCAAGTTTGGTTTCTTTCTTTTTTTAAGACATTGTTTTGGCATAATATTCACATATCATATACTTCCAGAGTTAACGTGCTTTTTTAAAAAGTCACATGTACAGCATCGCAATCAGCTCTCGTGCTTGTGTTTACCTTTATTTTCTCTCCCAGGTCATAAAATAGTAGACCCTGAAGTTCATGTTGATATCAGGAATTACTCTCAGTAATTCTCATTAAATTACCAGCACTTTCAAAAACACATTTCTGGATGGAAGTCACAGAAAAGAAGTACTAACTTTGGATCTAAAATGATATTCGAAGAGAAAGCCAGGTGCCTCGATGTTTGTTTATTGCTCATTGAGAGACTGTCACTGTGGCGTACACCCAACTCATACGCCAAGGATTTTCATGAATGTCCCCTCAGGGGTATGGGAAGAAAGCAAGGGAAAAGCATGTGCAAAGCATTCACTACACTGGACCAAGGAAAGTAAATGGCAGTGCCAGCAGTAGAAATATCCATGTTCATTTTAAAACTCTAAAAATGCACATGCACACACGAAGCTCTGACCTGAAAGGTCATGTCGAGTGATGAAGCTCTCGGGATTCGATGGGAATGCTCTTTCTCCGGTGGTGATACGGCGTGCCACACAGATCATGCAGGACTGTAAATCTACAGTAAAAAGTAGGACTGGGTAAGAAGCAGTTCCCTTCTGGATATGTCCTTCAGTAGGCTAGGAAGGACCAAGGGCAAGTTTGTCAACAGCAGGACCCACTGGTGACCACCATGCGACAATCTGTGACTGGTTTCCTCTCACCTTCGCCTTCCTCCATCATGGCACGTGGCTGGGACAGGGCGAAGCACTGCATGGTTTCATATCTCGGGCGGAGCTCAGGGCTGGTGTTTATGTCTTCCAGAATATCGTGTGGGGTTTTCATCAGCATGCGGCAATTAAATGTATGGCTTTTTTGTCTCTGTGTTTCATTGGTCCAGGTAACTCCATTCACTTTGGGAAACAAATTTTAAAAGGTTTGGGTTGTGGGTCTCTCTGTGTTTTCTTCTTTTTTTTAAAATTTGGCAAGTCAGTCTTTGGCCACCATAAAGAATCTGATATATATAGATATAGATAGATATAGATATAAACATTTATATATCTATATAGATCGTTCATGTAGCTACCATCATAATGCATCTAAACTGATATTTCAGAACAGCAATGCAAAATATTAGAATCATTTCACTTCAACAAACGTCTCAATAACTCACTGCAGAGTTTGGCTCATGAACTGTATACCAAATCTGAATGCACCAGGTCATACTTGCACAATCTCACTATCATTTGCCTTTCCAACATGAGTTTGCATGAGTGCTTTGCTTCCCCAAAAAAGAGATGCAATCAATTTTCTAAGACGTGATCAAAGAAAAAAAATGAAGCAACATATTTAGAAAGGCCTACCTGTAGATTTTGGCAAGTTTTTAAGGAAATCCTTTCTGTCTTCCTCATGTAGAACATTGCAGACACTTGTGTTGAGCAGGTCCTCTTGCTCATACTGCAGGTACTGAGTGACATTTTCTGACACAAACACAATGTCTCCGTCTCGATTCACCACAAACAAGAAGCCGTCCAGTGCCTAAAACATCATATTTTAACTTTATGATTATAAAATTATACCCTTAATTTAAATCATAATGATTAGTGCTCTTTACTATCAGCAACTATCAGCCACTTTTAGCTATAGGACATCTCTTCATGACAGTGTTTTCTAAAATAATTTTTAAAAAGACAAATAAGATTAACACAGAATCAAAAGTAATTACAATCTTCAAAGAAGCTTTTAAAAATAAGAATCATCTGACAACTTTTCATTTCTCCATTTGATGCCAAGTCAAGCTACAGGAACGCCACTACTCCTTAGTGGAGATTTACTAAGAGGATGAAAAAGGTGATAAACTAAAAAACAGTGGTAGCAAACAAGTTGGAACAAACTAGGTACAAAATAAACAAAAGTATTGATAAGCGAACTTCATAGAAACATTCTATAAGTGCAACAAGTTGATCCAATTCAACCTATTTCAAGGCAACTACTTTCAAAAGAGGTACATTTTTAGAAACTGAGTTCCTCACAAAGCCAGTGCTGTGGTGTGTCTTATGAGCAATCACAACAAAAATGCAGCAAAAGGCCGAGTGACAGATGGAATCAGGAGTTACCATTCACCTCTTCTTTATATTTTACCATATTTCCAACTATATTTTCGATAAGATATGGGGAGCCTCAAATTACATTGAAAATGTGAGGAAATTTTACTGAGTTCTGTCTCACAGAAACTTTCTACTTACGCTTTCATTTCCAAACAAATCTCATCATTTTAAAATGTATCTAAATCACTTGATAACATAACCAAAATGCAGCACAGCTTTACTGGATATCTAAAATCTTTACACTTGCCTGAAGTAAAAGTGGTCCTAAAGAGTCTTTATCAATAACCCCTTGTCCTGTGGAAGATACATCAGCTTTCTGAACATCATCATCATTGGAAATAGCTTTTCCTGAAAAGAAGGTAGTATTACAAACAGCGAGCAGATCCATTATACTGGGGGGCTTCAAGAAGTATGTGAGAAAATGGAACTAAGAAACAATCATGAGCTCTTGGAAGCCCCCCTCATAGATTAAATCCTCCTCAGGAAAGACACGCACGCACATGCATGCACACAGCTTTCCTGAAAAAACGATGCTATCGTTTTTAGCTTAAAGTTCACAGTAGCCCAGAAAGGCAATAGCGCTATTAATTTCTTTCTTACGACACAAGAGGTGCACGTGGCTTTCAACAAAGGGGCGAACAATTGATGGAGTGGGCTACAGTGGAGGCCTTTCCACGTCTCTGTTCACAGGTCCCTAAAGAGCCACGCCAGCCAACCCACTCATCCTTTCCCGCAGACACCGACCACAGTGAGCAGTCCCCACAGAATAATGTGCGGCCGGCGAGTCAGTGCCAACTTACAGTGACCCCGCAGGACAGGGTAGAGCGGCCACAGGAGTCTCCCAGATGAACTGTATACGGGAGTAGAAAGCCCCATCTTTCTCCAGCGGAGCTGCTGGTGGTTTTGAACTGCCTTGTGGACCTCCGCCAACTTTCAACCACTCCACCACCGGAGGAAAGGGACATGCAAACTCGGGGAACAAGTTCCTTCTAGAAGGAAGCTCACTTTGTATTACCTTGCTCTTTTATTTGACGTATCTGTCTTACAGTTTCCTTCAAAATGGCACATTTATCTGGTTTGACATTGAAATTATCGATGTCACTCAGGTTAGCAGATATCAGTTCAGCCAATTCTTCAATATATTTACTCTCCTGCTCCCTTCTCCACTTTTCACCACTGCAGGTAAGACTGAGAAAGAAAAAGGAGAAATGGCTATGGGCATGCCCATCACCACAAAAGCTGTAGGCAGAATTGCCTCCTATACATAACCATAAACTGTATGTGGTAACAAACTACATTCAGCCCGTACAAATCATTAATGAACACACTATCTTTGAGAAGTACAAAGCCATGGAAATCCATGTATACCTCCCTTCAATTCCATCTGTCTTTCAGCTAGGCAGTCTGGGAAAGGGTTAGCCTGGATTTCTTCAACTGGAAATTAGAGGAGTGATCAGGGTTTCCTTTGCAGAGTTAATAAAACAAGTAACAAATAATAGTGGAAAAGTGTGGTACCTACTTATTATTAATGAGGTTTTATTCATTGTAGATTTGTGCTTAATTCTTCAACTATCACTTAAAAATTCAAATGTCACTGACCTTGGCATTAATAATACTAAGAGAGCTACAGAGGAATATTGTCTCATGGTGTGTGTTTGTATTTTTAACCTCTAATTTCATTAGGGAAAAGAATGCTGATATATTTTAAATGTCAGCCTATCCATGTCATTAGTGGATAGCAAAGACCCTTACATATATTGAACCCTGGTCATTCACTCCTGATCCCAAACTCTTGCCGCCCCCATTAACAGACATTTCTTACATTACCGAAGACTTGTCTAATGTTCTCACGTCTGTCAGAATCTGCGGTAAAGCTTCTATTACATTATATGGGGTCTAACTCATACTGTTCCACTGTACGAATCACATTGAGCAAAATCTAAACATCTAACCATAAAATGTCAGTAACAGGAATTTAGAATTTTACCTTTAAACACAAGGTGGGGTCTGAGGCATTGGGAAATAAAGCACCTACCCTTGTCCTGGGTTATCACATGGCAGTTTGCGTTTCCGGGAATCCGTGGCCAGAGGGTCCAAGGAGCTTTCTCCTAACCCACTCATCTTGACTGTACATCAGCAACTAAGAAAGGAAAATGGATAAAACATCAGTGGCTGTAGAAAGGTGCCATGTGATTGAATGACTGCTTCTTGTAATGCAGAGCTACTAACTGTTAAACGGTTAGTTAGGGAAGGCTCAATTGTCTGGAGCATACATAAGCACTCTGAGGAGACACTCAGAATTCAAACTCCAGTTCAACTATTCGGTCAAAGATAAGAATGTCTCCCAAAGAAGCCTAACGTTTACTTCTATCCAGGTAAGCCCAAGTTAAAGCTGACCTGGTAACTTGGAAAGCTGTTTGGAGGTGGTACGAGTTTAAAATCATTCAGGGTATTTGCAAAGCAGTATATTTTTTCCCCTAGGGACTACTTCTTCAGTATTTGTCAGCCAATATTTTTTTCTGCTGCTGCTTCAAAATAAACTCAGGCATGTCAAATACCCTATGAAGCTCCCCAATACACTGCTTACAAACTATGTGCAGACAAATAAGTTTCCCAGAAGTAAACACTTGCAAAATCCATAGCGTGACAATCATTTTATGAATTACTAATAAATGTAATTTGCTTTGGTTAAAGTTTCACTGATAAAGAAGATAAATATGCTACTGTTGTTGTTAAAAACAAGTATTCATACTCAAAAACCATACCAAACTCGATGTCATTGTGTTGATGCTGACTCATAGCAACCCTATAGGATAGAAGTGCCTGCCCCCCTCCATTGAATTTCCCAGGCTGAAACTGTTTACACAGGAGTGGAAAGCCCCACCTTTCTCTCTTGGAGCAGCTCGTGGCTTCAAACTGCTGACTTTGTGGATCACAGCTCAACATGTAACCACTGTGCCGCCAGGCTCCATTTAATACGCAGGTCATAATTTCAAGAATTTACCACACTTTCATTTTTAAAAATCATTTTATTGGGGGCTCGTACAACTCTTATCACAATCCATCCATCCATCGTGTCAAGCACATTTGTACATTTGCTGCCATCATCATTCTCAAAACATTTACTTTCTACTTGAGCCCTTGATATCAGCTCCTTATTTTTCACACTTTCGTTTAACTAATAATTTAACATACCAAAACTTTCGCTTACAGGAAGAAAATTCGTTGTTCTAAAGAATTCTGGGCCAACTCATGAAGGTTAGGCCTTCTATTTTTCTCTCCCGTTACAATGTTATTACAACTGTTGATTCAGACTCACAAGAACCCTGACCCTATAAGGACAAAGTAAAATCATCCCTTCGTGTTTGTGAGGCTGTAAATCAGGGGTCCTCAAACTTTTTAAACGGGGCCAGTTCACTGTCCCTCAGACCTGTTGGAGGGCCGGACTATAGTTTAAAAAAAACACTATGAAGAAATTCCTATGCACACTGCACATATCTTATTTTGAAGTAAGATACAAAACGGGGCAAAAACACCCAGCGGGCTGGATAAATGTCCTCGGCGGGCCACATGTGGCCCACGGGCCGTAGTTTGAGGACCCCTGCTGTAAATCTTTATAGGAGTAGAAAGCCTCATCTTTCTCCTAAGAGGCAGGCTGTAATTTCAAACTGCTGACTTTCAGTTAGCAGCCCAACTCTTACCCCCACTATACCACCTGGGCTTCTTTCAACTCTATTGGAAAGACATAGACTTACAAAACGATAAACCCCCACTAGGTGGCACAATTCTACTGAGGAGACAAAATTACCAAAAAATCACAAGATGCTACATCAAACTTAAAATTATATAGCAAAACATGTTTGAGTATATATCTCAAAATCACACCATCATTATGAAGAGGCTCTAGATTATGACATGATCTTTATGATGACCATGAAATACCAACAAAATTTGATTTTTACCTATAATTTCAATAATCTAAAAAAAAGTTGAGCTGTTTATGATAGACAGAGTTGGTGTCTTTATATCATGGCATGCTTAAAATGAAAAAGATAACTGTAAAAAACTTAGATTAATAGTGACTCAATATCAAAGAGAAAAAGTCTGTAAAGATTCCAGATTAAAGGAAACTGAAGGAAAAAAATTAAATGTAATAGTTATTCTGGACAAGGGTCTGTTTTGGGTAGGAGAAAAAGTGCTCCTATTAAAAATATTTTTGTATCAACTAACAAAAGTTGAATAGAAGTATTTTACCAAGAGTAAATTTCCTGATTTTGATGTCTGTGCTGTGGTTAGAACCATCCCTGTTCTTGGAGGGCTAAAGAAGTATGAAGTATGTGAGTGTCTGCCAATGGAGCAGGGAAGTTTTCTTTAAGTATTAAGTTCATGCTGATCTGTACTTAAGAGAAATGTGGGACTTTCTCCTGACTGCACAGAAAAGCAAGCGACAATGTGCACCGATGGCTGTGCAGCCTCCAGGAGCCTCCACCTTTGGACTTCCAGCATGACTCTTCTACACAAGCCAAGAAACTCTTGGTTTTCATAACGCAAGTAGAATCCTGAGGTGATTATCCAAATTGCTAATACAAAATCATGGCTGAAATTCAAAACCGTGGTGATGGTGTTCATCCAAACATGAGGGTATAATCATTTCAAATGGAAACGGTTTATCATCTTCTGTTTTGTTGTTTGCTTGAAGGAATAGATTTGACAGATTTTTCTTTTCCTAGTATTTTGGGTTTGTTTGTTTTTCTTTGCCTAGTTGTTACTGCAGACAACCACTGAAACATTTAACTGCATCACACCTAAAAGATCACATAATGTTCATAGAATGAATGAGGGATTACTACTGTACAACAGCAATCAAAGTGGTATAGCAAAATATATCTCAAGTCTTAGTAAGATAAAGAAAATTGTTCAATCATGAAAAATAAAATGAGCATGTCTGCCAAAAAAATAATACTTTCAGCATATGCAAAAATAACAATTCCTGGGCACAGATAACTCTGAAAAACCCTTTTATATGCATTTCCCATTTGCTGTCCTTAATCTTTTATTTTAAACAAATATGAAAAATGTTGTAAATTACAAACAGCATTTGTTTTATTTGCAAGACATGCCGTCTGTTTCTCACTGGCAGATACACAGCCAAACTCAGTATCTATAAGGATAGTTTATCCACTTGGGTAAACTACTCCTCTTAGGGTACAAAAGAAGGATAAATTTCTAGCATATCCACATTCAAAGTAGACCACTTTCAGCCCCTCACCAAGAATGCGGATAGGAGGGGCTGCAGCAAATGTCAGGTCCAGGAACAGAGCAATTCTCAGACACAGGAACTGTAGCCCTTACATGTTTCCATCTTTCATCGCAACCTATCTGGCTTAAAGGGTATATGGACAGGATAAAGGGGAAAATAATAATTAATAAAGCAAAGACTCACAGTACTTTCAACGAAAGAATGCCCTATTAACACTGGGCTCCTAAATTCTGACTCCTTACAATTAAAGATGATCATCTATACAACTGAGAAGAAAGCAATTGTGGCTACTATATACAGGGATTCTCTGCTCTTGAAATCATGGCATAAATCCAATACAGATGCATACATACATTCTGCAGTTACTACTAAAATGATACACACACACATTGCTAAAACAGAAGTACTACACTGCATTTTCCCACAGTCCAATCACAGAAGCCTCCCAACCCCCTACCACCACAGTCTAGAAAAGATGAGACCTTTTCCCAGCGTCAGTGACTAATCTCACACTGTGAGTTCTGACATCCAGATCAGTGAGGCCTTCTTAGTCGTTTCCCTTACCTGTAATGTTTCTATTGGAAAGGGCTGAATGTTGTATTACATAAATGTATCAATTATGACAATACACACTTTAAGCTAAGATTACATTTAAACAAGATAGTCTATGTAATCCCTTCAAGTATACAACAGAGGCAATTAAGAATACCTTTCAGTGCTATCAAAACCCAATATTTCTATGTTACTTGGGAAAAGTTAAGAAGCAGGTTCATGTTAAGGCATAAATTCAACAAGAATCTTATTAACAGTTGGACAGAACTCCAATACATACTTCCAGTTTGCTATACATAATAACCATATATTATATATATTTAAACTTAGACATCCAAAGAATATTATAGATGGATGGAGAGTGAACATTTCTGAACTCCGAATGAGACTAAAAAGTAGAAAGAATTGTATTTGTCATCTCAAAACCCAGGAACATTTTGGAATATGGCATAGCTGTATTAACCAGCGTTCCTTTTGGTTACTTAAGTTCAAGACAGGAAGAAAATGCTTGACTGTCTATAGCAAATGTCAGGTGACAAGAATACAGGAAGTACTCCTTGTCCAAAAGGAAACGATACCAATCAACAATGTCACTGTCCACAGGGCAAGCAAGAGTTGGGGGGGAGGGGGGGGCTGAGAAAAGTCAGTCTGGGCCAAACTGGAAAGGAGATGGGCAAATCAGTAAATCTATACTGGCAAAGAGACTGATTGGAATATTTCACCCTTCCAATTGGAAGGGAGAGGGAGCAGGGTGGCTATTGTGACAATACAGAGCTAAGAATATTTCACATATATAGTACAACTTCTCCCAAAGACCTTCCAATATAGGTATGACAATTCTCAGTTCAAAAATATAGAAATGAGAAATTCACAAAGCTTAATGACTTTCCACTAGGTCAGACAAAGTACCTAAATGGCAAAGCTGGGTCTACAGTAATTTTCTGACCTTAAAGTCAACAAAATACTGATCAAATATTATTTGGATGTTCTCTCCCCACCCCCCAAAAAATTTTATCATGTTGAATCACAGAATTTCCAACAAATTAACCCAAAATTTTCTTACCGTATCAGATCATACATAAGGGCAGGGAGAGGTTGGGACAGGGTTTGGGGTCACTCAGGAAGAGGAAAGGCAAAGAAATGTTCAACTGAGCAAGTAGTAAGGTGCCTAATCCCCATAAGCCCCTAGAAAGTAGCCATTACTCTACAGATCACCAGACATGGGGTCCTTGTGGTGGTCTAATATTACTTACCCCGCTTATTTCCACTGGACATGAACAGTCAGGAGCTCACATGGCAAAAGAGAATCTGGGATCAGAAAACCATGC